ATAAAAGGGAAACACTACGGGGTTGTACCCGAAGTTCAACATTTTAAAAGTATTTTTTCTTACTGGCAGTTTCTGAGTCTTATCATTCTTAAAATCAAGAAAAGGTTTCAGATCCAGTAACCAGTCTGACCATGCTGCTCATTCAGACGCCAATTGACTCTATTGCCCCACATCTCCTTTAACTGGAGACCAGGTCAGACTCTTACCTGCTCATCTTGACTGTCCTGGTCTTTTCTCCTTCAGCTTGATGGTGTAGTTGCTCTTTGCTCTCGGTGCCAGTGACCTGCCGAAGTGTCTGTGATCCTCTCGGGCAACTTGCTCTTCAAGATGAGCAATGTTTGGAAACGCCTAGTGTTGAAATCAGCCAGGTATCCTGTGTGTCTGTGGGCTGGCTGCAGGAGGAGACTCTCTAGTGGGGAGGGATCATCACACAGGGCCTGTTCTGGCTTGGTAAGGTTTAGGGTCACACATTATGCAAACTTAGCCTTGACTGTATTAATCATATTTGGACTTCTGCTATTGATTACCTTTAGGTTACTGCAGCTTATTAACAAATATTTGTTTGGTCCACTTGCTCTACTTTTCTTATCTTGGGGTGTACACTGTAACCGCCTAAACATGACCTCCTTAAATCATTGTACAGTTGGCTACCCATTTTTCTCTGTCCCCAAAAATCATGCCTCTGTTTATGGTTGTCTTTGCCGCATGGTAACATGATGCTTTAGGGATTCAGTGTCACCAGAGGGAGAAAAAAACTAATCTCTGGGAACAAATGATACATTGCTCCCTCCAGCGGTGCACTTCTGCCTTTAATTTCATGTTCTGTACGTCTGTGCGGGAGTTGCTTATTATTATTGCCCTAACATGTTCCTTTGTTTCTGAAATTGGCAGCAGGAAAGGTACATAAAACTGGAAACAGAGGGATGTGTGTTCCTTGGTGTTTAACACAAACAGATTTTCTAGCTTTATCTTATTTTCTTAATTATGCCGGGTGTCTGCTCTGCACGGCACATGCTGTTAAAGGGTACAGAGCAGGACAGAAGTGTGCAGACCTGTAGTGGAAGAAGTTCTCAGATCTCGCAGCAATACTACACTGTGTAACCAGTAGTATTACAGACGAGCTAGCAGTGTACAAGTATGAGCTCCACCTTTAGGAGCTACAACATTTAAGTTAACATTAATGCATCAATAATGTAATGTAGAATTACAGTGCAGTATACTTTTTTTTTTAATTGGTCATTGATGGGTTCATTCGATAGATTAAATATTCTTTAAGTTTAATAGGTATTTCATCCTGGATAGGGGACCTTAGCGTTGTACTTTGCTTTCTACATTGTGTTATTAGTATTTTTTCTTTATTTTTTCTTTTTTTACCATTATTTTAAGGAGGGATATTCCAAGTGAAAAGGTGGGAGTCAGCATGTCACATAAAAGAATCCACAGCAGACAATAACACGAGGAAACCAAACAATGAATCAGCAGAATTAAACAAGAGAACGTGTGCATTCACTGGTCAAACAATCCTTAGTATTTAATAGAAATTAGATTATTTAATGTAAGGTGACCCTGTTTTTGTTTTTTTAATTAGCGTACTTTATTAAACCCAGGGAGCAAACCAGCGCTATTGGGGATTTGGTTCCTTGCTCACGGCCATCTCGGCAGGATATATATATCGGTTGCTCAGACCAATATGAGGTCATACACATATTGAAAGTTAGGTAAAAGAATAGTTTTTCCTTTACCACTGATCTGCCAACATTTTCTCCACATGGTTAAGAACACAAGAGTATAAACAAACATAATGAATATGACTTAATAAAGTCTTTCACATTTGGCCCTGAAGCAGCTATAAGTGTTTTAAAGAGAATGAGCCGACTCTACGTTTGGCTCAGATGTGTTTCTAATCTTGAAATATATAAGAGGAAGACGCTAATGGGATACTTAAGCCTTGTGTTTTTTTCCCATAGATTTCAAAGGGTTGCAATTAGGGGTTAGGGAACAGTGTGCAGACACACAAATACTGCTTGTAAAAAGTTTCACTATCAACAAAGGCAAGAAAAGTTTGCAGGGACAGTGGAGCATGTTGTGTTTGAATGTAGGCCTGCTTGTGATCATGTGTTCACTTGAGTTAAACTTTGGAACAGGGGCAAAAAGTATGAGAACAAAGGGCGTGGAAACCAGTTTAACTATTCCAAACCACATACTTAGGATCAGAATAATTCAAATCCCTCAGGAGATTTTTTTTTTTTCCCAAGGTAGTATTATGAAGCAATGTGTGTTCAACCATCTGACAGAAGATTGAGAAATCAACGCCCCATTGGGAATACTTTGTCCATATGGATTGTGGAGCTGTAATCGCCCCTCTCTATTTAAATGTCGGTCAAATGTCACAAGAGACAACTTGCAAAATGATAGTGCAATAAAAATGGATGAGTTTGAACATGAAAAGCAGCTTGAAGTTCATATGTTCTGCCCCAAGGGGTTCTGTGTACCCGGGTTGTTGAGGATGGTAAGCCTTCACTTGTGTCAGCGTTATCTAAAAAATGAAATACATCAAAGGTAGCACTAAACTAAACTGTGTTACATTCATGCATATAAACAAATAATCTACTGTTGTAATATCTGCATGTCTGAACAGCGACTGTTCAAACTAAGATTAAAAATCCTGCAATTAATGTGTCAGTCAGCATTACATCGTCTCTGTCTGTCATTGGGTGTGTGTGTTTGTATATTATGTCCTCGGTGTACTCAAGTATCAGAAGGTCTGTGTGTGTGCATACATATTACTTTGCAAATTTATCTCTTACTGTGTCAACAGTGTTTTTTGTCCAAGAATGATCATTGCCTTGAGATTCTTCTTTAGATGTTCCTTGTGTTCATACGTAGAGATCCAAACCTTGTGTCAATGCAACATTGAGGATAACATTTCCCTTTTTCTTTTTGGTAGGAAATGTCAATATCTAATACGTAGTAGGCCATGAAACCTACACATTAACAGTTTCCCATTGATTTCTTCTCTTTAAACTGCATGAGCTTTCCTCTTGTACCACTGCACCATCTAGTGTGCAATGTGAGCTTTGCAGATACCGTTCGCTGAATCTAATCTAAAATGGGAAAGACTTAAAATAATAGGAGTAAGCTCTGTCCTTCGCTGTACTCTGCTCACTCTGGTGCAAAAGATTTGGCAAACATGGCAATTAATTTCAGTCAGTCTTAAAACCAGTTAAAAACTCCTCACCGGTGCTTTAAGATGAAGATACAAATATAGGTTTCAGGTCACAAAGTAAAGAGTGATTGTAAAGAGTGTTTGAAGTTTAAATAAACATCAGTAAATGTATGCGTCTTCTCTGCGTCTCTTCCTCAGTCCTCTCCAGGCCTCAGCTTTAGCCAACAGCTTCCAGGAAGAGCTGCCATGTTAGCGCCCCCTCCCTGCGCACTGCCGGCTTCTACCCTGTAATTCTCCACGGTGCAGACATCTGTAAGCTCTGCTCTCTGACCGCCGGGGGGAAAATAGAAAGTTTGTAGCTGAAGGCTGTGATTTGCGTGTGTATAAATAAAGTTGCGAGCAAAGGAGAGGCTTCTAATATGATGGGAGTCTGGATGGTGGGAGGTCTGTAGGAGCAGGTCTTCAGACAAGAGACGAGGGGGGAGCCTCTGAGGGACATTCAGATTTAGTCTCTGTATTTGTGTGTTTAAAATGCTCAATGCAAGTAAAAACTTTATGTAAGCCAACCGCCTGTCTGTAACTAATGCAAAAAAATTAAAAATGTGTTCGTTGTTCAACTCTGAAATCATCCAATAGGATTTTGTTTCTACTTCGAGGCTAAGTCTGTCAGTCCTGGAAGGAACAGCAACCACACAGAAACACAGTTGGCAGGCGCTTTTACAGAAGCCCTTTTTTTTTTAAACCTATAAATGTTCTGTCTGCAGCTCCATGTTCTTCTCCATAATTTAGCAAAAATGTGAATCCATCGCAGTGTTACATCAAATGAAAATATTTTCCTTGTCTGGTGTCTTATTTTATTCGTATTTCTACGGGATTTATCATTCCAAACGTGTGCCTTTAGAAAGCTAAACTTCGGCATTGTAACTTTCCCTCCCAACCTAAATCTGTACTGGCGAGCTTTAAGGGTGGTACCAAACATGAAAGCGAAACAGACAACTTAATGTCACACCTCGTTGAGCCTTCATATCTCACTATATGTTGTAATAATGGACATTAAGTAGATTATCATCTCTGTACAACTCACTCTGTCTCTGTACTTCATAAAGTCAACTTTTGCTCCCTTGGCAACACACTGCACACTCAATCCAAGTGTTGTTTTGATGTACAAATACTGTCAGAGGGAGGAACTGAGACAAATGAGTTATCCTAAACTTTTACATTTATATTGTTTACTTTGTTGTATTAATTTTTTACTTGGCTCTAGAAGTACTGCTGTCCACTTTGTTCCTACTGTTTGTTCTATTTCTAAGTTTATTGAAATGCACCAAAATGCTAACACAAATGTTTAAACCATCGAGGCCCAATTCTGATTCTGATCATTAAAAATATCCTTTCATGTTTCATCAAAGGGTTAATATAAAACGTGCATATATTTCTACAACATGCAGCATTCAAACTGTAAAAAAACCTAAAACCTGCGAGCAGATTGGAAATAAGCAGCAGGCCTCCACATTGCTGCTGTCTCCTCTGTAGTGGTCTGAGCAGCCCTACCTCCCAGCTGAGGGCACATAGTCTAAAAAGGATGATCTGTTTATAGTCGGTACAGCAGCAGGCGCACAGCTGGGTTTAAAACAACCGTGCCTTGCCCTTTCCCTCAGATTCGGCCCAGGATCAAACCAGCGACACCCCTAATAATCAGGAATGGGTGCAGGTGCAGCAGCAGAGGCGCAGGATCTATTTAAAGGAAATCCCTCATTCAGTGGTGGAGAGGGGAAAGGCCTGAAAATGTTCAGATGTTCAAGATTTATATGTTGAAAAAATTAAGACTGGAGTGTTTTTCAATGAAACACTGTATCTGGTTTATTAAGCTCACTCACAAGATGCCAGTAATACGATTATGTACCACAATAAAATACTTGAATAAAAAACATGAATAATGATAAAACATAGATGTATATGAAAACAGAAATATGATCTAAAACCTGTGGAAGGAACAGAATAAGTGACTATCAATGAGAGGTGAAGGTTGATGTCCTTTGTCAAGTGGCTTTTCATCATCCTAACATTCAGACTTTCACTTCTTTTCTCCTCTCTCCTCTGTCTAACCTGAACCAGAGATCATTACAGCTGTCTTAAGATTTTCCTTTCAACATAAATACAACAATAAATACGTCAGAAATGACCCCGAGTATAGCTCTCAGCCTCTTCAGCTCCTATAGTCTTTCCGTTCCATACTCGTCTTTTTTTTTTAGGCTCCTCAGTCTTTGACTTCACATTTAAACTGACCGTGTCTTGGAGACTTACTGGTTATAATACTGATGGTACCATTAGAGATGCAAAAATACTAAAAGCCATACACTCATGATCCCCTCAAAGAAGTATGTTTTATATTTTGTGTTAGCTTCAATGTTCTTGTCAAATGACCGGTTTTATTCTTTAGTTGGCCGAATATGTGATGCTAACATTTATATATGTTCACCTCAGAGATGACTTGCTTTGTTTAAACTAGAAGACATTTAAACAAGGTTTTTTTTTTTTTTTTAAGTCAGCCTTCATCTGCTGAATCCAATCAAAATCACTCTCCTTATTAGTGTGAATGTGTTGTCTTTGAGACTATTATTTTTTTTCTTCCATCTGCATCTACCAGCTGAACAGTTTCATGAAGTTTTGGAATCCGTCCTCTCCTAAGAAGTCGAAGGAGCCCTGGGACGTTCCCAGGTGGACGAGCAGGAGGACGAGCAGGCCGACGGCCAGAAGTGGAATCAGCAGGTTCCAGCCGGCTGCCAGGATGTTGTACCACTTGGCTTTGTCCGAACACTCCTGGGCCAGAAGCAGATTTCCCTGAGTCTTCTGGTCCCTGGCCTACAAAGACACAAAGACACACACAGACATTCACATTATTATCTACAAACATTTAAGCCAATATTTACTAAAGCATAAATAAAGACAGGGGGGGAAAAAAAATCCTTGTTTAACCCTAACCCCAGCTCTGTATGTATGAGCCAGTGTGCTGAGTTAGCGTCTACACCCAGTTACACTTTAAATGGTGAAGGTGGGAGGGCAAACAAAGGCTTATTATAATGTTTGACAGGGGGTTGTTTAAAACATGTTCTCTAATCGTCACATACTGCCCACTTGTTCCTCTTAGTGTGCAGACTCAAGGTTGTGGAAGGGAGGAGTGATGTTAAATCCTTGAGCAACTCCTATCTGTATACTTTGGAAAAGCCCAGGCTGAGTCTTTTCCTCGCCCTCTCTAATTTCCCATGAGCACTTGCCCATTAGGAGGATGCCAATTATGCCTTTTTTAAACTCCTCAGACGAGCAGCCAGTGGCTGCCTTTAATTTGACTTCTGAGCCAATACTAGGTCTGTGATTCAGAGTTTTACCCAATGCAGACACATGAAAGATCAAAAAAAAAAAAGATGTATCCACGCCCTTTTGGTGGTGAGGTTTTTTGTCCAGGTAGTAGCACAGCTTGTCCAGTCCAGCTCTGTACAAGGCATTTTGAGTCGTCTTAACATGAGAAAAGGTTTTGTTTTGGTCTGCGTTCCTGTTTTCTACACAGCCCCATTCCTGCGGTGAAGGGCGCACCAACTTTCTCCTGTGTTTGTGCCATCCTACTAGGGAGAATAACAAGTCCTATGATGATTTGAATGTTTGGCTTTTCATTTTAGAACAGAAATCTTCCTTGCTTGATACACAAGATACATTTTTGAAGGGCAGCAATCGAAATCTGGCAAAGCTAAATACTCTGATCTCACAGCATGGCCTTGTTGGTCTTTTAGACCGACCCTAACCCTAACCCAATGTGGCATATATGTGGCTTTCTTTGTCAGCTGGGCTCACTTCTTGTGTATTTCTGTCAAAATTAGACAAATTATTTAAATCTTCATAGTGTTGCTGTTTACAGTTTAGTTTGCGCATTACTTGTACTAATAAAATGTAACGCTTTACTGCACATTGATCATTTCTAAATTGCTCTCTGTTATGACCAAGTATTCTCCAGTGTTTCTACCTCTGCCGTGTGCTAAAATAATAATTCATTATTAGTAAATGTAACAGATTTGTAGTTGTAAAAAATGATAAACGCCTAAAAACAGATTTGAAAAGATGACGCTGTAGAAGAGAGATTACCATTTCTTGGTCTTCTTTTAACAGAATAAACTCATCGTGTTTTTTGGACACTTGTTTGTACCACTTTAATGAAACATAGAACATCAAAGAAGTTGATTAAAGTAAAATAAAAGTGCAAGTTCTGACCTTAATGGAGTAGATGAGTGCCATGAACCCCAGGCAGCAGAAGTTAACGTACAAAGTGTTGCACAGCGACCAGACTAGATAGTCCTTGGGAGGGTTCTTGCCGGTGTTGCCCATGTTGACGACAGTGGATCCAGCTGGCTTACGGGCAGACTTACAGTTGGTGAGCGGGGTGCAGTCTGAGGGGAAGTTGTACGAATGGTTATCCATGGTTAGCGTTTGGACAGGTAGATGTTGTTGTCTTCTTGCGAGCCTTCCAGATACCAATGTGTCTGTGGAGAGTAGTGCCCCCCCCCCCTTGAGTGAGAGGCTTATAAAGGCCCATGGAAAGGGAGGTGACCGGGACAGGACACATGGGCAGGGTCCTTTAATATACAGCATGGTCTGTCATTATGTGGTCAGGCCTGAGCGAGACTGAAATAGAGATGCAGAGAGGCAGAAAGCTGCATGAGAGAGAAGGCAGGGAAAGAGACAGCAAACGATGCATGGGAGCAGTGCTGTATCTAGCAGAAAAACACCCATCACTTCAGGTTTCTCAGAGGTTGTATTGGTGTGATTCAGGTGGGTGTGGTGGGTGTGGTGGGCGGTGGAAGCAGAGGATAGTGGAGGCAGGGCTGTGATGAGCAAAATCCCTTGAAGTGATGGGGAGGAGGAGTTCATCTGAAGAGCTGTCTGCCAGAGGCCTCCAGGGACAGGTCTGTGAAGTAGAGAACTGAGAGGGTACAAAAAGGTCATGATTAATCACACATTTGGAAAAATTGTTGGAAAGTTCCCTTAGGATTTTTGATCTCAAAGTTACAAGACCTGGAATAAAAATTTAGTCCAGAAACCATCTAAACTGAAAATGTATTTAATTAAAACAAATTTTTAGCCTATCTTTTTTTTTTTTTTTTTTTTTTTTATTAAATTGATGACAGAGATGACTAATATTTTATGATGGAAAAAGTTAATTGTAAGAAAAAAAATTTCATTAAGGATGGCTTTTTTAGAATATGATTTTAGCAATTATTAGCAAAATGAATGCTCTAAGTCAAGTCAGACCTTTTGGCCACTGCAGAGATGAGATATCTTTTATAGATTTCTCCAGTCAGTGCATTCACAGAAATATTGTTAGAGATTTCAAAATGTTTTTCTTGGTGATGTTTGACGTCGTTTCTGAGACTGAAGAGGGTCTAATGAGATTAATCTCACAGGTGTAGCTGTACACAGGAAGAAAAAAATATATATTAAGGTTTTGAACAAATTTTAAGGAGAATTTGTACAGTTGGAGACGTTAACATGTTGACATTTGGAACAACACTGCCCTCTGCTGGCACGTCTGCAGCATAGGGCGCTAAGCAGCCAAAGTAATCTTACTGGCCGAGCTGTTATTCTCAATTGGATCAAACATAAATACTGAACTCATGCCGACTGTAACAGCTGCTGAATGTTAGGATATCTAATGTTGAAAAAGTAAAACTATATGCAACGTTGCGGCATTTGTAGGCTACAAGTCATGGAAATTTACTTTTGAGACAATGCCAAGCAACAGCGTATCACGGAAAAGTGTTTGTTTTGTGGCTTCAGTGAGTTAAAACTTTTAAAAGTCCATGAATTTAGTAATCTAAAATAGCGCTGCAGCAGCGATTATAAAACGTACCTACTATGTCAAAGAATCACATTAAATAGTCTATTGTCGATACCTTTTGATACGCGACTGAGAGCATTGTATTTTAAAAGGTGAACGCTTTCTCTGCAAAGTCACTTCTCTGGGACCAACAGAGAAACATTTTCTCACGATATAAAGCACACAGGAAATAGCAGGGGATTAAAAAAAAAACACTTAGCAGAGGATGGTTTCGATCCATCGACCTCTGGGTTATGGGCCCAGCACGCTTCCGCTGCGCCACTCTGCTACGGAAATAAAAGCGAGTTAATAGTTGTTTAAAACACATTTAAGCTATCTAAGTCTGGAGGCGATGTCAACATCCATGTTTTTCCGAAACAAAAGCGTCAACTTTAATGCAGAGTCTCTGATGATAACAATATTTAGACGAACACAATGTTTTAACCTTCACAATCAGTAGAAATGGGTCAAATTAAGTATCGGCTGTATGGAGATACAAGACGGGGCGAGACGAAGAGAAATGCCGCTGCAGATTACAAAGGGTGCTATTACAGTGACAGGGACTTATCAGTGAGTGACCTGCTGATGTTTAAGCAGAACAAGTGCCGATATGTCTGTGCGCATATTCCACCGATTAAACAAGTAAAGCAGACGGGACGGGAAACCAAAGATAGAAGGCAACTACAGTTTGACATTCAGTGAAGTTGGACGCTCATCCAGCCACACAGACAATACAATAAAACCCACATTATCAACCCAAGCACGACAACAAACTTTCTAAACAGTGTGACAGCAATGGCCTGCCGTTCATACAGTACGATAACCAAGCAGACACGGCGGTCTACAACACATGCACCCACAAACAAAAGACCAGCATCGAAGCGTAATCACAAATGATGATGAAACAACTTACCAGTTAAGTTTTCATCAGCACTGTTGCTTTCCTGCAGCTAGCTGGGTGCTCCTCCTAACATGTTTATTTGCTTGGTTAGTAGTGTTTACGTTAGTGGAGCTAGCAACGGGAGGAGACTTGTCAGGTTGAGTTGTCAATGAGAAAACATTTTTTATTTAGTTTTTACACTTTTAATGTTACGAAAAACTGCGAGGTAAACAGAGATAAAGCAGACAGACGACTAGGTTTGCAGCGGGGGGCCCAGCCAAGGGGGTTGCTAAGAGGTGGAATCAATGACATTACAAACAGACCACAGCACCCCGCTGGTGATGTTTGCTGCCGAAGTTGAGAACCCCCTTGGCAGTGGAGGGGGGGCCCCTCTCTGCTCTACAAAATACATTGTGTGTCTTGATTGCGGCAAATGAAAAGAGAGACTCAGACCTAGTCAAACTAACTTTATTAGAAAATTCAACTAAATAACAATCATATTTTGTCAGGACAGATTAAGAACCATTGGAGAAAAGTGAAAAATAAACTATCACATGAATTACAAATATCATCATCATGAAATAGTGTGCCATTTCTTTCCTCAAGAAAGTCCACCAAAAGGATTTCATTGAGCAAGTACACAACAATTTGAACCCGCTGGTCGATTATACATCTTAAACAGGTCCCAGGTTTGAAAAATCCCATTTTAATGGAATAATACCGTAGTACTAAACTTAACACTTCAGCTGGAAACCAACAACTTTCTATTAAGTGCTTTATATGTATACTTTGGCATGCATTGAATTAAAACACAACTTGCAAGTGATTGAAACCTTCTATATCTGACAAATGATGAAACCATTCAGGAAGCATTCATGTGTTACACTCCAGACACCGTTTTCTAACAGCATGGTGCAGCCGGTGTCCAAGATAGATCTGTCTGGCTGTCCTGCTCCCCACTTGGTAAAGCTCAGAAGTCGGTTTTTCATATCAGCCCCAAAATTCCCCTCTGCTTTTTTATTGTTGACACCGATCCAGGCCATTTTGTAAACATCCCCAAAGAACTGAGTGATCATGTTGTTCTCCTCCTCGTTCTGAGGCAAAGCCAGCTCTAAGCCTTGCTGGGAGCAGAACTTGACGGCTTCGGAGAAGGAGTCTCTCTGTTTGTTGGACACAAAGTACTTCTGACCAACTCTCCGGACAAAGTCGTAGTTTATAGCTGAAAAGGAGAGAAAATGCAGAAAACCACAAATCAATGAGCAAACACTTTTTAAATAAACTGGTTATTAAATCGTAAATAGCCCTGTGCGACTGAAATACAAGCAAATGCAACAAATTTACCAAACTGAGTCAAATGTGTGAACAAAATGACAATGAAGTTTAAGATGATGTCAGTTTTGATATTGAAATATGTTGGCTTTGAACAGAGCGTGATTATCATTCTTGTATTAGTTTATCATGATACTTACTCAACTCTAACTCAACAACACTTTTCTCTAAGGCTTTGAGGTCCGGGCAGCTGGAAGCAACGATATCTGGATCAAACAGAAAGAAGTTTAATCACCAAACTTTGTCCATTGTTTAATATCTTATCTTATGCCAACAAGGTCCTTGATAATATTAATGATCTAAAACTGGGGAGTCCCGGTAGCTTAGTGGTTGGTACGCACGCCCCATGTACGGAGGCTGTAGTCAACCAAGCTGGTGGCCTGGGAATTGAATCCGACCTGTGGCTCCCTTCCTGCATATCATTCCCCACTCTTTCTCTCCCCCCAATTTCTGACTCTATGCACTGTCCTATCTCTAATTGAATTGACTGGAAACAATTAAACTTAATAACTTGCTTAAAATCAAGTATAGGCTACTCCTTCCCCAACTGTGAGATTAAAAAAGTTAAAAGTTAAACAATACAAGACGTGTCCAACTCCCCAGCAAATTCATACTAGTATGAGTGCAACAGGTTTCATTTTTCCCATATTATTACATAGGCTGACAATTGTAATTGTTGCATTTCTTGTGAACTTTGTGTTTTTGAATTTGCATTGTTTCTGGACTTCATCTATTTCTCTGAATGGAAATCATTTGAACAATATAAACCATGATAATATATAATAAATCATGGTAAAATCAGACTGAACTATAACTACATTAGCTTGGATGCCACAAAATAATAGTCACGTGTCTTTAACTAAGATTAGGGGGAAAGCAAAGACAAAGTTCATCCTTTTAAAATGGGCATTTATCTTCCTGTGTCTGCCCATTGTCTAACAACTATACCATAGCTGATATTTCACTGTTCAGTATAATGAAGAACAGAAATGTGCTCAAATTTAACTTGAAAACTTGAAATACCTTACCTTGTAAACATATCCCACTACATCCAGGTCTTCCAGGCTCCCCAGGCAGTCCACTGTATCCTTTGTCCCCTGAAGAGGAGAGAAAGTGACAGTAAACAAGACATTAGCAAATGTCCACTCTTCTTAGCAGACACACACACATAAACATATGAAGAAAATATAGAAGGATTAGGTCAAAGTTTGATTTTGAGAAGTTGGAGGTAGGCTCAAGTGTGAGAATTCAACAAACAGTCGGTCCGACAAAAAATGTCTCAAGTTTGGTTAGGAATAATATATTGAGAAAATATATTGTTGTGAAGTTAATAATCTAAAAAATACCTTTTAACCCAGGTATCCCACTTAATCCAGGTGAACCAGGTCTCCCATTAACTCCTGGAAGACCTGGGAACCCTCTTTCACCTTTGGGTCCAGGACAACCTTGAAGTTGACTGAGGCAAACAGGAGCCATCAAGCAGACGATGTAGGATAATAGACACAGCCTCATCTCCTCAATGAAGATGTAAAATATCAAAAATGTAGATGAGCATTTCAAGTGGCATCAGAGATATCTGGACTATGGACTCGAAGGTGTTCATTTACAGATTCATGGACTATAATAATGCAGTCTGAATGGATGTGCAAGTTTGCAGAAATAACTGTACTTCAAGATCAAGGCAAACAGGATGAGCAGAAAAGTTATTGCCATAAATACTTTATCTTTGATGCATCTCACAGCATTAAACCAAAATTCCTCCTCTGTAAAGCACTGCAAAAAACCCACAAAACATTAAATCTTGTGCAAACAAAGGTAAGGAGATAAAACCAACAACTCACCGTATCAAAAAAGGATCTGCTCGGAGTACTTCTTCTTGTAATCCTGACTGAGAAAACTGACTGAGACATTAGCTTAACATCATGAAAAAAAAAAAAAATTGCTCCACAGTAAACAACAGATGTAATGTATCTTTTGGGATTTGGAGAAGAAGATCACATGACCTTTTTACCAGCGATCACAGGGATTATAGAGAAAACAAATCTATGTTTAAATATGCCAAATGTATCTATCTATCTATCTATCTATCTACCAACCATCCATCCATCCAAATCAATCAAGTTTGTTTTATACAAAGAAGACATTTTAATGTGTGGTGAAGATATTTGGGTTTTCACTATGATCTGCCATTGCTGGTTGAAGACGAGGGGAGGGTGTTGGCCCCTCGATGATCTTCTACTCTATGCTATGTATCCCAAAGGAGATTTGGCATCTGTTGTTTATTCTGGGCTGAAATTCCTTTTTCCTGAGTCTAACATAATATTTCAAGTGAGTTTACTTATGAAGAAGTGAAGCAGAAGCACAACCAACAGAGCCGTCTCCCTTCATACAGTAAGTCCGCTCTGCTTTCTTTACCCATCATTTCATGCTTTTAATTTGTTTTTAAGTGGTTGTGTGATATGCTGATTGTCTGTTTAGTGCTGTGAAATACATTCAAGTTGAAGGAGTAATAAAACAAATGTATTTATGCATATTCTGCACCCATACATATACTGTATATCTGTGTAAATGGAAGCTACTAGAGAACTACTGGAGCCATGCACATTTATTTCTTCCTCTCCTGATGTAAAAACACACGTGTGATATTATTTTTTCTAATTGTGTTCTGCAGTTTTGCATTATGGAGATGTGGCTGTTTCGTTTCTGTGTTGTTTTCTGTACTATCTGCCGGATGGCTCCTATTGGTTTCAGTCAACTTCAAGGTCCCATTGGTAATAGAGGACCTCCTGGGTTACCAGGTCGTCCCGGTAGAGATGGTATACCTGGATATGATGGTAAACCAGGCCCTCAAGGTTGGTATAATGAATTCATGGGTTAGGGTTTGTTTTGTAGCCAGAATGAAAAAATCTGCAAAATTCTTCATCCTCCCATGTTACTTTCCTAAAATCTTTCTTCACTTTGCTCTTTGAATCTTCTGAGATGACATGACAATTGTTATAGATTTGTTTATTGTCTGTTTCATTCCGCTTGAGGGGATTCTGGAGAAAAAGGGTCGGCAGGAGTTCCCGGATTTCCTGGACCCCGAACGTTGTGTACACAAGGTAATACGAAATGGAGTTTGTTGAAGATCCCATTTAACATTTATTTCACCTTTCATGTTGTCCGTCTGTGAAACTTATTTGGTAGCTGTGCATGATTTGCAGCTAAAATCCTTATTTATATTATACTGGCATCTGTAAAAACACAAAACATTGCAGCCTCTGCCTGAAGAGGTTCGTTTTAGTTACTGATTCTTTAAGGCCCCAGTCCTCAAATTCATACTTTCTTCTGATTGGCCAGCTCTCTGGAAGGCTTCTGAGGGCAAAATGCTGCAGGGCTGCCAGGGGGAGGGCTACTCCTCAGAGCTGGGAGAAGAGCCTAAAGTGCATTCCTGAGCTTGCGTAGAGGCTTGAAACCATCTCGTGAAATTCTTTGTTTCATATCAGAGAACTATGGCTTCATTTACAGAACAAGCTGCTTAGGTGTTCTGCAGACTTTTCCTGGGATTACTCAAACATACCTTTTCTCATGATCTGAAGATTTACTTTTTTTTTTTAGAAAAAAGGCAAAAAACATCCTGACTATTTTCACAAGGCGGCAATTTTCCTCTTGCTGTAACGCTATGTGAATTTGCAGACACGGACACCAATGTTACATCACTGTGGAATCAATATTCGCTGTTGCAGAATTGCACTCTTTATATAGGGCTACTACATTTTTGAGGGAGTGACTGAGTGCCAATGTTATTTTTGATAGGAATGTGTTATATGATACAATTAGAAAGATTTAAAGTCCTAGCTAAAGCTTATATTAGTAGTTATTGTATGTTTTCATACATGTTGTTTACCTTTAGCTATATGGCTCTATCCACAAGGCGGTCGCCAAACTGGGGCTACTGTCTCAAACTAACTTTTGGTCAACCTATAACAGCCAGTCAACCCCAATACAGTTTGTGCCGATAAAGAAATGAGCTATTCTGACCAAATTTTTGTATCTATGCAGGCTGTAAACATTTTTATTTCTGCTGTAAAATTGGCAGTTTTGAATGGGTGTGTATGTGACATCCGGGGTCTTTGCAGCCAGCCCCAAGTGGACACATGTGGAATTGCAGGTTTTTGTACTTCTTCGCTTGCCTGGAAGAAAGCCGTATGACATCAAAGCATAATTTTAACTTCCCAACTTAAGCATGACTGCGAAGGAAAATGGCCGCCATCTTAATACAAAGTCACAAAGTATGTTGATTTACTCTGCTCTGTTTGCTCCAGATGACACTGATTCCAGTTGCGTGGACTCCGAAGCCTTAAAAGCGAGAGTTGCTAAGTTACAACTGGGTAAGTTTTATCATGAAATTCTCTTGTAATCAAAGACCACCGTTACTTTTTTCTTTTGCTTGTCAATTTCCTGCATTATTTGTAATCCTTTCAGCTATAAACTACGACTTTGTCCGGAGAGTTGGTCAGAAATACTTTGTGTCCAACAAACAGAGAGACTCCTTCTCCGAAGCCGTCAAGTTCTGCTCCCAGCGAGGCTTAGAGCTGGCATTGCCTCAGAACGAGGAGGAGAACAACATGATCACTCAGTTCTTTGGGGACAATTACAATATTGCCTGGATTGGTGTCAACAATAAAAAAGGGAATTTTGGGGCTGATATGAAAAACCGACCTCTGATCTTTACCAAATGGGGAGCAAGACAGCTAGACAGATCTATCCAGGACACCGGCTGCACCATGCTGTTAGAAAACGGTTTCTGGAGTGTAACACGGGAATACTTCCTCAATAATTACATCATTTGTCAGATATAAAGTCCCAAACTCTTGTCCCACTGTAATGTGAGGCTTAACAAATGTTTCCATATAAAGTACCTGATGTAGGGGGACTTAGTCATTTTTTAAAAGGGTATAAATATGGTATTGCGTTCACTGTGCATGACAAGGGTAGAAATGATTTCTAAACCAGTTACAGAACTACGTCCCGTTACAATCACAGTCTGCTGCTGATGGTGCTGCCGGGGGCGGCCCAGAATCGCTCCGATTCTGGGTGGATTCTGGGCCCCATGAAAATACACCACAGCAAACCCTGCACAATCATTATAACCACATCTCCATTACGCACACCCATTCAAGTTTTGAATAACCATATTGGTATGTAACATTCTGAAGATTTGAGTTAAATAATCACTAGATAGAAAGAAAGCATATTTCCTCAGTAACATCTCATATATTTAACAAACATTCAAAAAAGTCATGTATGTGGGAGATGTAGAGAAGTACTCATACTCTTATTATGTTGCAATAAAATACAGTTATTAACTGCTTTACACTCTATGCATAACTTGTCTGTAACTGACTCACAAATGTTCTCTTTACAATAATTTCAATAAATGAAACCATGTAACAAATCCATCCTTGCAGCAGTTGGACCATTTTTTAAGCACCTTATAGGAAATTGCAATTTTTTTTAATATGTTTTATGGTTACAATCGAGCCTCAAAAATGTATATTTTACCCCAAAATTAATATTTCACTTTTTAAATTGTTATAGAACGTGTCAAATCAAGCATTCAGATTACACTGCAATGAGAAAGACATATATCCTCTTCTATAGGCAATCTTTTACAGTTTATATATTTTGCTGCAAATCCTGCTGGGAAACTTACTTTTAAAAGCGCTTAAGAGAACAAAACTTCAACAAACCTTTTGGATATTTCATCTAAAGCCCAGTGAAAAGCCGGCAAGCAACTGGCCCAGACCAATAGGGGGCCTTGAGGGCTCACAGACTTCAACCAAAGCAGTGTGAATGTGTACATTTTGCAATGACAGTAGGAATCTAAGAAATGTTGCAAGAGGGAGTACCTGCCTGAGGTTATTGCTGTATGTGGGTCCTTTGGGAATTCCTGTGTTAATAGATTATTAGTGTACTAAGTTGATATATATATTTTTTATGTTAGAAGATCAATGTAATCTTCAGGGTCGTCGACGCCGACCAGGGTCACTCTCTCCTGATGGTCTTCTTCGCTGATGGACAACAGATAGTATGGGGTTCTTTTTGCAGGCGAAGGTGTAGTATGTCCCCCGATCTCTGACGTGGAGGATGACTTTGATGACCCCATCCAACACATCATGGACATCGATGCAAGGGAAGAGGAGATGGATGAAGACGTTCAACTGCCGATGGACTTGGAGGAGGATGAAGACACAGACGACGACAGCGACGGATCAAATTAAGTGTTGTACAAGGGCGATGTGCAGCTTGCAAAGCATGTGAGTGTGTGTGGTAGGGAAAGGGGTACAGATCATGTGCTGCTTTTTCCCCATCCTCAGATTCAACCTCTCACAACAAGTTACTGAGCATCTTTTATACCTGAAGTCTAACTCAGGAAGAGGAGTTTTGAGCAACTGCAACATTAAAAAAGGCCCTTCAAATTATTCACCGCTCTCACAGAGGACAAGGGGGAAGCCGTCTTCTCCTCGACTGTGAATCACAAATCTGATCACGGAGTCTACATTATGGAGTCAGGACTTCTGGAGATCTGGAGATTTTGGACAAAGTTTTGGATCTTTTTTCCTGAACAAGCAGCAAAAGGATCAGGTGTATGGGCCATGTGTCTGTCCTCTCTCTATCTCAAGTTTTTTTTACAGTTACTTTAGAATTAGTATCCTGAGTGTAAATGATTTGAATGAATTTGTTTTTTAATCCATTTGATTTGATTTGATGTGTTATCTGATTTAAAGTGAGGGACTTGATTGATTGATTTAATTTTAATTACTAGCCTATTAAGCTGTAACTTTCCCTTTGCTAATAGAGATTTGAATTGCAGGTGAAGTATAACTTGTGGACATTGGATTCATGGCTTTAAAATGTCATTTGTTAGCGTATTAAATGTTTGACACTGAGTCTATGGCTCTTCCTTGGTCTTGGTGATCTAAAAATATATAGCCTATCACTGTGTTTTACATCTTTTTTTTTTAAATAGGTTACTATCACACATTTAATAAAGAGATCCTTAAGGCTTGTACACTATGAAACAGCAGTGTGTCAATTAAATAGGCTATTTATGGTCTAAGGGGGAAATAAAATGCTGTTTTGGTAGGCTTATATGTTTTAGAGAAAGAGATCAAGCAAGTTCTGAAAAGAACTCTAAAGAATATAGGATAGTAGCCTATATCGTAAATATTGGCCTAAAGAAAACCGTTTTAACTTCTGCATGAACATGCTCATCCAGACATGCCTGAGATAAACCATAAACTAAATATCAGTCAGTATGCTCGTGTCAAACACAAAGACAAAGGACACTTTGCCTAAAATGTAATTTTTATTTCGTTTTGTAAACACACGATACAGATTCAGGTAGGCAAGTTATAGCTAGTTTTTAATCTAGTAAAGCCTTATTTTTTATTTTAGTTTCAGTTAACCAAAATGATTTTACAGTTCAGTTTTTGTCAGTTATTACCGATAACGATAACGATAATTGTATGCATTATTTGCCGAAATGTGGAAAGTGATGATGACAATAATGAAGATAGAGATCCCTATGCCAAACAAAACAGAAGATATAATGTTGAAGGTGCGGGCGGTTCCTCCATAATGTCGAGCCCCCTCCAGATCACCAACCATCTTCCGATCTCTGGACTGAAACGACAGAAGCACCTCTCATTATGTTCAGTAAATTGTTTATCGTCAAGAAAAAAACAAAGTTGAACACGTTTATTTTTTCCCACAACATCTTTGTCAAGATAATGCAAATATTTACACATGATTGAATGATTGTATAATGAAGCGAAAATGGTCTTCATCTCAAACCTGTCATCCTTTCAATGATGAGTCTTTTTTTTCTTACTCACTGATAGTTTGGAATTTCAAATTGAAAAAATCTCCAAAAAGACCCTTCAAATAAAGCGAAGCTTTTAACAATACTTTTACATATTTTTGAAATTTAAGAACTTCACTCAAGTTTTCTGCAAAAACCACAGGAAAATTCTTCTCCTGGTATTGTTCATGAACATTTTATGCTTTTTCAATGTCAAAGACCGAGTTATTTTGTTCATCAGTGAGTCTTAATTGATGTTTTTAAACTGACCTTGATGGAGTAGATGAGAGCCACCAGCCCGAGGCAGAGGGGGTTCGAGTAGACGAAGCAGCAGAGGGACCAGATGATGTGGTCTTTGGGGGGCTCAGTGATGATGTTCACAGTGGTGGACTGAACCACTGTAGGCTGTCCTGGATATCCAGGCTGTCCTGGATATCCAGGCTGTCCTGGATATCCAGGCTGTCCTGGATATCCTGGATATCCTTCATATCCCCTCCCCTGCAGTGGAACACCTTCAGGATTCATCTCAGTCGTCTTATCTGTAGGTTTGGAGTGCAGGCTGCAGGAGGGTGTACACACACTATGATCGTGTCGCTGTGAGTGTTGGTGTGCTCCTTTGAGGGTAAGCACAGCACAAGCTGCTTTTCCACCTGATACCAGCAAATGAGGTAAAACCAACCTGACCACAATGGGTATGCAAGATTAGCTTCTTCTTAAACTTTGAATAACACCCATTCTTGAGAATTGGGAAAAATCATGTCCCAGGCAAACAAGCTTAAACAAAACTTACAAATACACTTATTATGAAAATCTCTTTTTTAAAGATTTTTATATATGAAACCAATTTGAAATACCTAATTTTGGTTCTGATTTATTTTCTTTTTAAGTCTAAACCTGCCCTTTGACAGAAAGCACCCTTGTCCAAGACAAAAATCTAAAACTTTAAATTATTTAAAAATGTGTCAAAATCATACAAAATCTTAAAACTACAAAACCTACTGATACAACGGGTGTAAAGGGGGATGACATTTAAGTATCGTTAAGCTTTCTATTTTTTTTAGAAATTCATTAAGTGATGCTATCAGGTGTCTCAACCATAACACGTCAACTCCGTAATCCCTTAAATATCAGAACTAAATAAGGTCTTATGGTTTATTAATCTGTGTTTTGGTTGGCATTGAGAGAACTCTAAGCAACTTTAAAAACTGAAATGGCAACTTACTATAGATGAGCTAGATGAGATAACTGGCATTTTAGTTTCCTCTTCTCATACAGCATTGAAGAAAACAAAGATGTCTTCAAACAAAAGAACGAGACATGAAAGCTGCTGTTAAACTTCGATTTAATACAGGCACTAAATACAAATCTGATCTTAAACATTCATATAAAATATATTTTTTACACTTTGAAGAGTTAGCAAACACACAACAGGTCATACAGTGTATATTACACAGTGACACAATAAACTGTGCATTTAGTCGAGGGTCTTTTTCTCTGCATAGAATGGACAAACATGAAAGCCCTAAACTACATTTCTAGTCAGTCTGAAAGAAAACCAGAATAGGAGGGAATTAGTGGTCGTGTTTTTTGATTCGGATGAGGATGTAGTTGCTGTTTTTTTAATGCTACTTAGCCACATTAACCCTGCGTTAACTGATAGACCACGATATAAATCAACAAAGTTTCTCTTTTCCACTAAAGAGAAGTTAATCAATGATTTTTGAGTTTCAGGTTAATTTATTTATATTTGTATTTAGTACAAAAAGGCACTATCGACTTTTTGATGAAGTGAAAGTAATTGTGTCCTTTTTGTGAACTGCATTACTGACATGCATGCGCCCACAAACACCCCCAGATCAAACAGAAAAATCATTTCAGTTTGAAAGTTCTTCTCATGAAGAATGCAATGATTTTTGAGGTTCAGTCAATCGTGAGGAAAACAAGCCAACGCTTATGATTGCCTGCAGTGAAAAATAAAAATACTGCTTCTTGCAGTTGGCATGTGCCAACACTACATAAAAAAATCAATGTATTTTACAACCTGATTGGAGATTAATGCTGAATATGTCACACATTGAATCACATGTGAATGTTAAAAGAAGACTAACAGAATAGCTGATTTGGATTTATTTTTGGAGAGAGATGAATCAATCCAACATACAAACATAACCTAAGAAATAATCACTCATCCTGGTACATGGAAGAAGCTGAGGTTGAACTTGAAACTCCAATCACACCTATATTTAAAAACAAACAAACATTAGCATTGAGGCCATATTTGGTCAAAGGCAAGCCCTCCATTTCGTCATGCAGTACTCGATCTAGTTAACATTAGTTACCATAGTGGTCTTTGTTTCAGTCTGTAAAAAATAACAACTTCATCTGTTTTTGAAATTAGTGTTCAATCAAGACAAATGACAGAGATAAAGAATCTGCTGAATATTGAAAGCTTTGAGGATTTTGAGGAAAATCAACTGTTTGGATGGACTGAATGAAAAAAAAACGAAAAAACACAACCCTCACATTACAAGTCGGTGTTTCAGTCTCGTCATTCTACTAATTGTTTAGTCCAATCTCGTTACTCTTAGTAGCAGTTGTTAATCAAGAAGTGCATTTGCTCTGCGATACATGAGGGTGCTGCCCCTTCTGGAAATTTAAGGCATCACATCTTGGAGGATGCGGCGACGGCCGAGACTCCTGGACGGCTGTAGACATGCACGGGTGTGTTCTAAGAGAGTGGAAGTGAAAGAGAGAGAGCGAGAGAGAGAGTTGGTATTAAGCTTTTTTACAACTGTATACCAGATGCACATCTTAGAAAACGTTATCTGCAGACAGCTGTTTACGACTCAACACTAATAAATCTGCATTACGAAATGTTGCCACCAGACACACACAAAAATATATACAGTATATCCAAATGTTCTGACAATTAATGTGCCCAATGTCTGTCATGGAATAACTTTCATTTCTGTTTAACAGCCTTGTCCTTGGCTGAATGTTATCCTTGATCTATAAACATCTGTATACAATATGAGCTCAAATACTGAAGACTGAAAATGGTAAATTGACTTGTATAGCGCTTTTTTCTAGTCTTCTGACTACACAAAGTGCTTTTACACTGCATGTCACACCCACACATTCACACACTGATGTCAGAGGCTGCTATGTCAAGTGATCATCAGAAGTACCTAATCCCATTCACACACATTCATACACTGCACACGAAGCAGCAGGAGCAATTCATTCCTGCCCAAGGACACATCAGACATGTTACTGCAGGAGCTGGGGATCGAACCCTCAACCTTCCAGTTGAGAGACGGCCGACTCTACATCTGAGCCGCCCCATGTCAGTCCTTGTCAGAGGTTGGCAGTCAGTGACAGTAAGGCCTTCTCTGCTGGCCTAAACACTGAATCAGAATCACAAATTTATATATATATATTTTTATTTCATTTATTTATCTTGATTATGATTTTTGCCATAATCAAGCAGCCCTACGATAGTTGCCTTGATATTTTAAGCTAGGGTAGATCATTCATGTCAGAAACTTTTTTTTTTTTGTATGCAGACAGTAAATAATTCATCAACTGCTCTGATAACATTAAGTAAAAAAAATCCATTCATATGCAAACATTTGCTCCCCACAGAACAGCTGTTGAGGAAAACCATGAAGTTTAAATGTGGACCTGCTGAAATAGCTGAAAACAATAGTCAGGACACTTCTAAAAGTTTTAGTCTTCCTCTGGGAAGTCCAAAACGTCAAAGTCATGATGACACTAAAGAAACAGTGCCCAGGGAATCCCCTCAGTCATTCAGATTCCTGCCTGAATGTTTGCTTCAAGTTTTATAAACATATCAAAACTACTCGCCAAGAATCAATCAGACAGTTACTATTTACCTGCTGGGCCTCATTATTGAACTTGTTGAGAAGATTCTGAACCCGGTTTCCATAGTCTGGATGGACAGCCTTCAAGTTCTCAACCTGCAGGAGAAAACAGATAATATGATATTAAGGCCCTGAAAAAGATGTTCTTTATACTTCTAACAATCAGAGTCTGATCAAATGTCTTTTGTCAAACAGTCCAGATATGATGATTCTTTTGGAAGATAGAATACCTTATTGTGATTTGACTTACTCAATTATTTATTTATGTTTATTAAAAAACACTGAGAGGAAGATGGAGGTGGTTTAGAGTTGCAATCTTGCTTGGAAACATGAAACCAGACCTGACCACAGTAAAACAGAGAGCGTGTTCTTCTCTGTGAAAGATTTCCACAGTATGACCAGAAGTCACAGCGTTGTGGTCACCTGTTGACAGTTGAGGGTGACGCATGACGGAAATGAAACCAGGTCAATTGCTAGTTCTGTTATTTCACCCCTTAATATAACATCATTGTTACATTGTTGTTGAGCACTTTCCACGTTAAACACGATGACATTAAGATCCCAAATGAACGCTTATATTAGTTTAATAGCATTAATTTGTTTGCAGTTTTATGTCCCTTTCAGCGTACCATAGATAAGTCACTACAGTTAACGATTCACATTTAATGTCCACTGTGTCACATCAAACACTTCCTTTTGTTACGGTTTTCTTCTAAAATAAAAGCAGGATTTCTCTTTCAAACAGGAAGTAAAGCACAAGAGCTTAAATAGTACAACATGAAAGTCTATTTATAAAAAATGAAAGTATGACAAATACAGTTTTGAATCGCTAAATGAAGACATTTCAAACACAAAAATGTGATTCAAGTTGATTAGCTATTGAATTTAGCCATTTCAAAGTGTCTATAACCTGATGCAACTTCCTCCAACGCCTTCAAACTCCTTTTTCAAAGGTCTGAAGGAACAAGGTCCCCTACATCCAAATCCTCCTGTAGCAGATTCTAAGGGCGCACTCACACTAGGCAATCTGTGCCGTGCCCAAGCACGCTTCACCGCTAAAGTTCCCCGATGTATGGACGCAGAATCGACCATGTGTCTTTATTTATTTCCTCGAGTAAGCCTGTTTTGTAAACTGAGCACGCTTCATTATTAAGTAAAGCCATGCATGTGTTGTATTACGAACTTATGTGCAAGAGGTAGCCGTGCTCGGGCCCGGTTAGTCCTGGAGCAGTGTGAGAGCAGGCCAGCGGGGTAATGGGGAGGGGGGGCAACCGTGCTTAAGCACAGTACGGGACAACTTTGCTAGTGTGAGTGCGCCCTAAGCCAAATAGGGCAGCCTACTTATAACTCCTATATTCTCATGTAAAGAGGCACTTTGGAGACAGATATGAAAAACAGGGTGAGGAGTGTAGCTTCCAGTATTATTCAAATGAACAAAATGACATACATAAGAAGGAAGAAAGTTAAGAAATATCTCATAAACCAGGAAATGCCAGTGATTTAGTCAACATGACAATGCAGGGAAGCTGACACAAGCATATAGTGCCAGGTGCAGTGATGAGTAAGGGCCTTCAGATTCTTAATGAACCTGAATAATCCATGGTATCTGACATCACTGAGAAAATGTATGCACAAAAAAGATGACTTCAAAGTCTTTACGTAAAAGTTAGCGAATCAACCATTAAGAAGCCCTGGAATTTATAAGTGAAAACAGACTCATTCATATCATTCTGCAATCATAGTAGAAGTCAGGATCAGTACAAATCACTGATCCCTGACAACTTGTTAAAAAAACAAGTCAGTGCATTCACCAGTTTAATAACCATGACGACCTATGTCGTCCAAGGTAATAGGAAAACAACTAAAGTTACCATTATAAACTCGTCCAAATCTTACGCCTTTTTTTAAACAATAAATGCTTAATCCCAAAAAAAACTACTAACCGGACCTCTTAAGTCTTCTTTAGTAACTGTTCCCTTTGAGCAAGATTTAAGTAACATTTCTGTTCTGTTTCATTTCACACTGTATACATGATCACATTTTCTTTGATTGTTTGAAGAACACTTTAGAACTGCCTGGTGCATGAATTGGGAGATTTCAATTTAATTGCCTCTGCCTAAACCCACATACAGACACCAAGCTTCATGAGCACAGTGTTTGGTTTCCAGAGAGCCACATCCTGTGGTTTTAGCACGCTCGTTCATAAAGCCATCAGTATTTTATTTTTTAAATGTTTCCTGCTACGGGGCAATAAACATGTTAAAGAACATGTCATTTGATTTAAACAGTGGAAGTATTATGTTTGGACAACTCTTAGTAGAAGCATGACAGCATCAAGCATGTCCAGGTGACAGAGACTGTGTGGATAATAATGCAGTGAGGACTCACCATGCACTTTTGGATGAAGAGCTGGGCTCTTTTCAGGGCACCAGCCATGTTACTGCAAAGCCTCTCCCGCTCCTCCTCATTCAACACCTCGGTGTAGAAGGTCCGAACCTGCAATTCAAATTTGAAAACACACATTAAATACCTGGTAAGAGTAGATTGAATCAAAATGATATCCATTTCAGTCCACTTCATACAGACAGGATAGCTTCAAAATAAAGCCAATCATCTCTAGCCTTGTCACGATCCTGGTTACCTTAGAGTAGTAACACACATACAGTTCATGTGTAGATTAGTTCACTTGTTTTGCTCTACAATGATTCATTATTCTTGATTTTCATTTCAGTCTTTATTTGAAAACCATATAGACTTATGTCCATGGTGACTTGTGGAAGAGGAGGAACCTGTTAGACATAACACTGATTTATTATGTTGGGCTCTGAAGCTGTTAGCTGTGTCTGTTTGGTACAGGGCAGGAAGCGCACAGGAAATTAGGAGAGAAGAAGAACCATCCTGGTGGTGAAATCGGTTTGTGTAAACCGGCTGGTGCTTGTAATATCGGGATGTTTTCTTCACCTGTGTGACATTGTCCTCATCTGCACTGTTGTAACGGCTCACATCTGGAGACACCTTGAACTTGGACTCCACAAACTGAGGCTGGGTGTCAGGAGCACTGAAGCTGTTGGGATAGTAGTTTGGGGCTCCACCTAGAAGCCGGACAGAACAAACTGCTATGTTAAAATCTGAACAGAATAAAGAACTTTATTGACTGTGTGCATGGATGACTGTGGTTAGTTTTAAACTCAGTTTGAATTAGATGAGCAACTTACAATTCTTCTTAAACACCATCCTATTAGTATGAGTCCTATTGCATTTCATACAGTCTCAATGGCGACATCTGTTGGGCAACTCTTGGTCTTGCCCTGTTGTATTTTACCAAGTCTTTTCAAAAAACTAAAAATTTGTATGACTGGATGTGAGTGGGAGATCAAATGTATTAAACTGATGTGTTTTATAGACTGAATTCACTCTAACTTCATCACTCAGGTTTGATGTTTGTCGTGGTGTGCTTTGTCTCAGACATGGTGGCTCATCTTTCCTGGACACACTGTGAGTAACCCAATCGCTGCAAATACTACAATGCTCCTTTGATATATACAGACTAAAAGATAGATTAGGTAGATTATACAAGATTTATTTTTTGCGCTACATACAAAGCTTCAACAGTAAAGCCTTTGAGTCTGTCTCTGTTATTGCGTCACACACAGGTTGGACTATGACTCACCTTGGTTGTCAAACATGCACATCGGACCATCGCGCTGGTAGTTGGTCACACGGCTCCTGAATGGACAGTTGACAGGGAGCTGCAGGTAGTTAGCTCCCAACCGGTGTCGATGCGTGTCTGGGTAGGAGAAGAGACGGCCCTAGACAAAGATAAAGGAGATGAACATCAACAGGGCATCGCTTAACTGAAGGGTCTGTCTTTAAAAAAGCAAAACAAGATTTCTCGTTGGTCATTTATTCAAAAGATTAGGGTCCAGACTAAGATCTGCTGGGAGACAATAAAGTCTTGGGGGTCACCAAATACTCTCATTAAGATGCCTGAACATGCACTTAAACAGGACACCATTTTTAGATTCAGTATTACTAGAAAATGTGTCAAGAATAACAAATGAAAAGAAAGAAAGTTGTGTTTACCTGCAGCATCTTGTCTGGGCTGGCCTCGATGCCTGGTGGCATGTTGCTGGGATCGAAGGCGAGTTGCTCCACCTCAGCAAAGTAGTTCATTGGGTTCCTATTGAGCACCAGTTTGCCCACAGGGATCAGAGGGTACTCTTTGTGAGACCAAACCTGAATGAGATACAGTAGCTCCATTAGAAGAAGAAAAGATGGTACCACTACCATCCGACTGTAGGATGGGTACAACACGCACAGAGAAGTTTTTGTATTCATAGACTTTACTATTGATGAGCACTTCAGCTCAAATTCATGTAAACATTTAAAATTAGACATAGGATACAGAGCCACTGTTACTTTGACACAAACACTGATTTCAGTTATCAGATGTTTAAAATGCTAACAAAAAGGGAGGCAGAAACACTAAGACATATTGCTCGTGGACATCTTGATGTCTGAACAGTATGTGCCTTGAACTTTTTGTAATTGATGACATCTTTAGCAGGAATATGCAACAGAGCAATAGAAACTTTTCTTGTCTATGTGGATGCCAAGATATTTGTAGGACTCTACTTGTGTTATGGTGTGATCATGGATGACCACTGGTGAGTGGTCGCCAAGAGAAGGAGGGTCGAACACCATCTCATTTGTTTTTTTTGTGTTGAGGAGGAGACGGTGTTCGTCACACTACTGCACAAAGTTGCTGGTTGTTGATGTATATGTGTGAATGTCCGAGTCTGTTTGCAGAAGGCCCAGGATGGCCGTGTCATCGGAAAATTTAACAACATGTACGTTTCCACTGTTGCTGGTACACTGATTTGTGTAGAGAGTGAACAGCACTCGTGAGCTAACACACCCCTGGGGCGCTCCGGTGCTGATGGTTGTGAGCTCTGACACAGTTCTGCTCACTCTGACTTGCTGGGTGCGGTTAGTGAGAAATGAATGATACCATTTAATGATGAATGGATCATGACCCTAAGCTGATTTAGTGTGTTCAGTAGAATGTGAGGCTGCAAGGTGTTAAACGCTGAACTAAAATCAACAAACAGTAATCTAGCATAGGTCTTGGGATTCTCCAGATGTTTAGTGACCATGTGCACTAAGCTATTGATAGCGTCATCAGTACCTCTATGCTGTCTGTATGCAAATTGGTATGGGTCTAGCTGTGGGCCTACCTCCGACTTCAGCCTGCTCACCATAAGTTTTTCCATACATTTCATTACAACAGGAGTTAAAGCCACTGGTCTAAAATCATTACAGTCTTAAGGACATGGAATTTTTGGGATAGGTGTGATGACTGCCTTTTTCCACATTGCTGGTACAGTGTTTGTATCTACTGACCTCTGAAAGATGGGGCACCAAGCAGGTGTTAGTTCCTCTGCACACATCTTTAATAAGAAAGCAGAAATGCCGTCTGGCCCTGTGGCCTTGTTGACAGTGACACCTGTAAAAACATTTTCCACATCCCACGGCAGTGGGAATGTTCTCCAAAACACTACTACACTCTGCTGAGAAATCTTGTTTATCAAACCTTTTGAAGAAAATGTTCAGTTCATTTGCTGTGGATAATTCATCCCCAGCATATAAAGATTTTTTAGTGGATTTCATGTTGGTCATAGTTTTCACAGAGTCCCATAATTTCCTGCTGTTCATGTTTTGTAGATTATCCTCCAGTGTTGCCCTGTGTTGTTGTTTTGCCTCTCTCAGTCTTTGGTTTAAGTCTGATTGTACTGCTCTTAGTTGTAGATGGTCCTTATTCTTGAATGCAAGTTTTTTCCCGTTGATACAGTCTTTTACCTCCTTTGTGATGTAAGGTTTACTGTTAGGGTAAACTTTTATTGTCTTTTTAGGGATCACAGAATCAATGCAGAAATTAATGTAGTCTGTGGTGACTTCTGTAACACAGTCTATCAGGGGTGCCCAAACAGTCGATCGCGATCGACAGGTAGATCGCTGACTGATTCTCAGTCGATCGCGAGATGTTTAGTCAATATAAAATACAATTGTAAAATAGAAAAGTGATTTCAATTTCATCTCATTGCACTGTTTCCCACACACGATACCTGTGTTGGGAGCCCAAGTATACTTCCGACCTGTTTGTATTTAATTTTTCATTTATTCATGAATTTGCTGCGTGCACGAGAGAGCGAGCGAGAGAGCGAGCGGGGGAGCGAGAGAGAGAGAGCGCGCGCAAGAGAGAGAGTGCAGGCATGCGCAAGGACGTGCAGGTAAAACCGGGGGGGTAAATGTTTTACCAAAAAAGTCATATATAGAAACTATGCTACGAGTATTAAGCGCATTTGATGAAGCTGCAGCTACTTTTCTCTGCTCCTCTCTGCTGTCATGACTGTGAGCATCGCGGGGCACGAGACACACCAACATACAGCGCAAACGCACACACACACACACACACACACTTGCACTGGAGCGCCAGCCACCCCGCGAACTTTTTTACTTTTTACTTTTAGTGCTACAGCACACAGTTGATCCGTGATCTTTACGGACCGAGGCGGGAACACACGTGACCCGGTCAAACGGTCGGTTGGACTTTACTCCGTTCACTCTCACCGTGTCTGCAGCTAATTTAACAAAAGCAACATCATCTCACAGCAGCCTGCTGTAGTCTGTGAACATCTCCACACAGATTAAAGTTGTTTGTTGTAAACTAAATTAAGGGGGAAAACATATGTGATATAAATACAAACGTAATATTAAAATGTAGCCTACCCTAAAACAAGAGTTTAAAAAAAAAAAAATTATGTCGATATTGCATTATTTTTTACGGAACTCTCATTTATTATATCTGATATTTTTTTCTGTTTGTTGTTTGAGTATTAAATGCATTTGTAGGCTGTCGGTAAAGGCTTTGGCTCACTATGTGGACTGGTAGATCTCGGCAGACTGGCAACTTTAAAAGTAGATCTTGGTTCAAAAAAGGTTGGGCACCCCTGGTCTACATCATTCTCCTCAGAAAAAGTGTCCCATTCTGTGCATAAGAAGCAGCCTTTCAATGCGTCAATACTCTCTTTAGTCCATACATTGACAGATTTAACAAGAGGCTTGCTGCTCTTAAGAGCTGTTTTGTAAGTGGGGATCAGATGGATAGTGTTGTGGTCAGAATTTGCGGAAGCTGAATATGCACCCTTGATATTTCCATAACATTTGTCCAATGTTTTTTCTCTTCCTGGTGTCGCATTTTATATATTGTTCAAAACCTGGGAGTGCAGTGTTCAGATTACAGTGTTTAAAATCTCCCATAATAAAGATGGGGGCGTTTGGTGTGCGTTGAAGCTGCTCTTGTACAAAGTCCGCCACTTCAGAAGCTGCCCTGGATGCGTTACCGTCAGGGGAACATAAACTGAACATATCAGAATATTTCCAAACTCCCGGGGGCAGGTAGAAAGGTCTTAGGCTAACTCACAGTAGTTCAACGTCCTTGTTGCAGACAGTTCCCTGAACTGTGTACTGCCTGCACCACTTGTCATTGACATACACTCAGAGCCCGCCTCCTTTGCTCTTCCCGGAGTCCTCAGTTCTGTCAGCGCGGATATGGCTGAAACCTTCAATTTCGACCAAAGGCTCTGGTACATCTGATGTTAGCCACGTTTCAGTAATAGTCATTATGCAGGACTCACGGTATTCAAAGCAGGCTTTTGACAGTAGTCGGAGTTCGTCCAATTTGTTTCTCAGCGATCTGGCATTGCACAGGATCATAGATGGTAGTGGCGGCCGGCTTCCTCTCCTTCTCAGCCGCTGTCGGACGCCTCCTCTCAGGCCTCTTTTTCTCGCTCTCTGTCGGTGTGATGATCGTATCTCCTGAGGCAGGTCTTCTGTCATCAATCTCTGTGGATTTGCATCATTGCGAAGAGACAGTAGCAGCTCTCGTGTGTATTGTATCACCGGATTTACTCCGGTTGCTCGGCAGCTGTTAAAAAGTTCAACGAGGATCGTGATTGCCACTAAAAGAGTCCAAAAGCACGGCATGTTCATTCTCCTTTTGGTCTTCATTCATCCATTCTCACAGAACGGTAGTCCAAAATGATCACATACAAAATACAAACTTCTACAACAGCTCACTGGTGTCCGTGTCGCCGCAGGGCAGCGCCACCCTGAGCCATGCTCAGAAAGATGTGGTACCTTGGTAAGATCGAAGGGGTTAAACTCACAACTTCACTTTTCTTCGAGTTTTTTGTGACTTTCTTTGTGACTTTTTTCAATTTTTTTAGACATCTTTTAAAACTGTTTTTTTGTGACTTTTAGAAAAACAGTCGAATCCATATAACAAACTATTATACGTTATATGGATTCTACTGTTTTTTTGTCTTCTTTTTTTATTTGTGATAGGCATACTGAAGTGTCTGATGTAACCAGGACAGAGATAATATAAGTTTACAATGGGCAGGTGTCACAATACTTGAATCATGACTCATTACACTATACCATCCAAATTACAGCAATAGCACTGGTGTTGATTATAACATCATCTATTCCACGCAATCTTATGATTACTTTATTACTCAATAATCTTAATTAAATTATGCAGTAATTAACTTACTGCACAAATAATATTGAAAATACACCACTACAAATGTAACTTCTGTATTCAAAGTCTTCAAAGTTTGTAAGTATTATCAGAAAACTGTAACGTTACCAAAACTTTAAAAGTAAAAGCACAACAGTTTTTTTTATATATACAGTATGTAGCCTATTTCTTAATATTACTGCATGGGGCATTTTACACCTAAAATGTTTAAAGTGGAGCTGTTTTAACTACTATAATCATTATTTCACTTTATTTTATTTCATTTAATTTTTTGCATTGTACTGAGCAACACAAACTGGGTATAGATAAAAATGTAGCAACACCTGAATAACATTTGCTAACATCAACCAGCAAGTAACTCTCTTTCTCCCTCTCTGATGTCAAGTTCCAGCCCTGAACTTCCACCAGCTCATCTCTCTGTCCCTCATCATCACATGTGACCCTACCATGCTGAGGCTGCACAACTGTCCGGCTCGCCTCAACTCTCTCTTCTTCACTCATGCTGCTAACTTCTTGGATGCTGCTGCTAACGTCAACTTGTGCCTCAGTGCTGCTGCCGGCTATGCTGCTGAACATTTCAGTGAGCTTGCGACATTTAGCGGCTTCACTTTCTAAATGTCGCATTTTTTTTCCCTCGCCTTCTCAGCCCCACCCTTTTCTTTGTTTTTTTTACAAACGTTATCCATATTTTTGTGCTTCACTACTACTACCAAAGATCGTCTTCGCTGCTACTAGTGATGTGTCGGTAATGAACGATTCGTTCAAAAAGAACGAATCTTCTAGGTGAACGAACTGAACTGAATCACTTACTGAAAAGAGTCGTTCATTTCTCAACTTCAGTTGCGCTCTCCTCTCTCCCGTGTCGTATCTCTCTCTAGGCCATAAGAGTCGCTCAAAGCCCGCCCTCCCTCTCCCTTTCATGTCCGTGACACATACTGACTGAACCAACAGGACGGAGTCGGTCGGGAGACTTTTTTAACATCCACTAACAATCGTGTTTCAGTCAGTACATTGTGTGTGTGTGTGACTGAGGCTGGTGACTCGCAGTCTCGCTTGTTCACGTTCACTGAACGAACTGAACGAGAGCACCGCCTCCGAGTCTCTCTCTTCCTCTCAGTCAGTCAGTCAGTGAGTGATTTGTGTACTGAACGTACTGAACAGAACGGTCGGGGAAAATAAATGTGATTGTTTTAGCAGCTTTCAGTTTGCAAACTGTAACTTTATCCAACTAAATTCTCAGCTCATTAGTTTATTATTCACCACCGGCTATTCTCAGTACGATCGCGAGCAGAACTAAACGTTCGGTCGTATTTCAGCTTATTAAATTCTGATTCACAGACAGAGCTGCAGAGAAGTACTGAACGATTCGGTGAACGAATCTTTTGAACGAATCACTTTACTGAACTCATTCTAATGATTCAGTACACTGAAAAGAACTGCTTTTCACATCACTAGCTTCTACTACTACTTCTACTCTTTTAGATTATAGCTGGTGGGCACAGGCAGCTGCCGGCTGGCATCCAACTTTAAGACGCATTGTTTCCACCTACCGGACTGGAGTGTGAAACAGTAAATTAGCAGGAAAAAAAAAAAACTGGTGATGACTGCGTGGCGGCCGCCGGCCATCCTGGAGTACCGGCCGTTCTGTGATTCTCCAGAACACACAGATGGCCAGTCCGCCCCTGCACCCAGAGGTGAACGTGTTGTGTTGATCACCTAAAAGTTTCAGTGCGAAATCACTTCTAAATGCAGTAGCCTGCTGCTGCGCCTTTATCACCAGCTTTCATCAGACCGTAAATATGTAACTATTACTGAACATTTCATTCTTATACAAAGACGATATCACGCACAGGCTGCCCGATCATACAGAGGTCCGCTGGTTTAACCATGGAGCAGCGCTAAAATTCTTCCTTGAATTGCGCACGGAGATGGCAGAGATTCATGGAGCATAAAAAGTCAGTGACATAGTTAGATCACGATATTGCGGACACGTAAAAGAACGGACTGCCAGACTCATATGAAAAGTCGTTTAACTGAGTCTACTTAGTTGAAGAACGTGCACTCCACACGGAGCTGATCAGACTGCAGTGCGCAAAGCTGAAGGATCAATTCAAGTCAGTTCGTTTGGAAACATGTTATCATTTTATAATGCCTCATACTTAAAGACCCGAAGATGCATCAAAGACACTCTGTTTGTTTATGACAACTTATTCACGTGAGCAGGTTTTATCTGTAATGAACCTTAACGAGTGCAAACTGTGCTGTGGCCTGACACACACAGATCTAAAGTCTCTGTCTCTCTCTCTCTCTCTCTCTCTCTCTCTCTCTCTCTCTCTCTCTAATGCACTGAGCCCAGGGCAGGTAGAATAAGGTGTCAAAGTGTCTATAACCTTGAATAGCAATATTTAAACATAATATAATAATCTCAATCAAAACATAATTATTGATGTTTTCTTCTGTAATGTGGTACATTTAAATATTTCCATGTGCCAACATGCAGTTTGCAATGACAGAGTTAACCCCTCTGCTTAATGTTAATGTTAAAGTTTTCTATACAATCATACATTAGCCTATATATCCATGTGTTGAGTTATAGTGATGTCGGCAAAATTAGTCCGGCCCACTTGAGGTCTCATTTGGACAAATCCGGCCCCCGACCCAATAGGACTTTGACTTTGACATATCCTTTAGAGTCTAAAGAATATAATATATCTTAAAAAAATATGGAAAACCGTTTTAACTTCTGCATGAACATGCTCATCCAGACACGCCTGAGACAAAACATAAACGGCATATCAGTCAGTATGCTCGTGTCAAACACAAAGACAAAGGACACTTTGTCTATAATGTAATTTTTATTTAGTTTTGTAAACACACGATACAGATTCAGGTAATAATAATAATAATACTTTATTTGTATAGCACTTTTCTATACAAGTAGCAAAGTGCTTTGCAACAGAAAATAAAAGCAGAGACAATTAAAGCAACAGGCAGAGCGTAAACAAGCAGACAACAAAATCAGACTAATAAAATGAAAAATAAAAACAATTAACGATATCACAGAGTAAAAGCATTTTTATAAAAGAATGTCTTGAGTAGAGATGTAAAACAAGGGACTGACTCTGCAAGTCTGATCTCCTCTGGCAGGCTGTTCCAAAGTCTGGGGGCTCTGACAGCAAAGGCCCTGTCCCCTTTAGTTTTTAGCCTGGAACAGCCGGTAGGGCTCTGCCAGAGGATCGCAGACTGCGTATTGGTTCATAAGTGGTTAAAAGGTAGGCAAGTTATAGTTTTTATTTTGCAAAGCCTTGTTTTTATTTTAGTTTCAGTTAACCAAAATGATTTTACAGTTCATTTTCTATCAGTTTCTATAATAACCATAACCATAACGATTATATGAATTTTCCTGATTTTTCACAATGATCACAATGATGACAATAATGGAGATAAGGATCCCTGTGCCAAACAAAACAGAAGAGAAAATGTTGATGTAGAAGGCGGTTCCTCCATGATGTCGAGCCCCCTCCAGATCACCAACCATCTTCCGATCTCTGGACTGAAATGACAGAAGCACCTCTCATTATGTTCAGTAAATTGTTTATCTTCAAGAAAAAAACAAAGTTGAACACGTTTATTTTTTACATCTTTGTCAAGATAATGCAAATATTTACGATGATTGAATGATTGTATAATGAAGCGAAAATGGTCTTCATCTCAAACCTGTCATCCTTTCAATGATGAGTCTTTTTTTTCTTACTCACTGATAGTTTGGAATTTCAAATTGAAAAAATCTCCAAAAAGACCCTTCAAATAAAGCGAAGCTTTTAACAATACTTTTACATGTTTTTGAAATTTAAGAACTTCACTCAAGTTTTCTGCAAAAACCACAGGAAAATTCTTCTCCTGGTATTGTTCATGAACATTTTACGCTTTTTCAATGTCAAAGACCGAGTTATTTTGTTCATCAGTGAGTCTTAACTGATGTTTTTAAACTGACCTTGATGGAGTAGATGAGAGCCAACAGTCCGAGGCAGAAAGGGTTTGAGTAGATGAAGCAGCAGAGGGACCAGATGATGTGGTCTTTGGGGGGCTCAGTGACGATGTTCACAATGGTGGACTGAACCACTGTAGGCTGTCCTGGATATCCAGGCTGTCCAGGCTGTCCTGGATATCCTTCATATCCTCTTCCCTGCAGTGGAACACCTTCAGGATTCATCTCAGTCGTCTTATCTGTAGGTTTGGAGTGCAGGCTGCAGAAGGGTGTACACACACTATGATCGTGTCGCTGTGAGTGTTGGTGTGCTCCTTTGAGGGTAAGCACAGCACAGGCTGCTTTTCCACCTGATACCAGCCAATGAGGCAAAACCAACCTGACCACAATGGGTATGCAAGATTAGCTTCTTCTTAAACTTTGAATAACACCCATTCTTGAGAATTGGGAAAAATCATGTCCCAGACAAACAAGATTAAAAATATCACTTACAAATACAGTTATTATGAAAATCTATTTTTTAGAGATTTTTATATATGAAACCAATTTGAAATACCTAATTTTGGTTCTGATTTATTTTCTTTTTAAGTCTAAACCTGCCCTTTGACAGAAAGCACCCTTGTCCAAGACACACATTTAAAACTTTAAACTATTTAAAAATGTGTCAAAATCATACAAAATCTTAAAACTACAAAACCTACTGATACAACGGGTGTAAAAAAAAAAGATTATTATAGTCATCTACATTTTAAAATGTATTTTTTATGAACATTTTGTGAACTCCGTCATACTTTTACAAAAACACAAAATAATAAGGCATAAAAAGAGGTGAGCTATAACCAAAGGACCCCTGTCTTCATTCCTGAAGGGAAAAGGGGGGATGACATTTAAGTATCGTTAAGCTTTCTATTTTTTTTGAAATTCATTAAATGATGCTATCAGGTGTCTCAACCATAACACGTCAACTCCGTAATCCCTTAAATATCAGAACTAAATAAGGTCTTATGGTTTATTAATCTGTGTTTTGGTTGGCATTGAGAGAACTCTAAGCAACTTTAAAAACTGAAATGGCAACTTACTATAGATGAGCTAGATGAGATAACTGGCATTTTAGTTTCCTCTTCTCATACAGCGTTGAAGAAAACAAAGATGTCTTCAAACAAAAGAATGAGAGGCACTAAATACAAATCTGATTTTAAACATTCATATAAAATATATTTTTTACACTTTGAAGAGTTAGCAAACACACAACAGGTCATACAGTGTATATTACACAGTGACACAATAAACTGCATTTAGTCGAGGGTCTTTTTCTCTGCATAGAATGGACAAACATGAAAGCCCTAAACTACATTTCTAGTCAGTCTAAAAGAAAACCAGAATAGGAGGGAATTAGTGGTTGTGTTTTTTGATTCGGATGAGGATGTAGTCTCTGTTTTTTTAATGCTACTTAGCCACACTAACCCTGCGTTAACTGATAGACCACGATATAAATCAACAAAGTTTCTCTTTTCCACTAAAGAGAAGTTAATCAATGATTTTTGAGTTTCAGGTTAATTTATTTATATTTGTATTTAGTACAAAAAGGCACTATTGACTTTTTGATGAAGTGAAAGTAATTGTGTCCTTTTTGTAAACTGCATTACTGACATGCACGCGCCCACAAACACCTCCAGATCAAACTGAAAAATCATTTCAGTTTGAAAGTTCTTCTCATGAAGAATGCAATGATTTTTGAGGTTCAGTCAATCGTGAGGAAAACAAGCCAACGCTTATGATTGCCTGCAGTGAAAAACAAAAATACTGCTTCTTGCAAAGAAGTAGTGCCAACACTACATAAAAAAATCAATGTATTTTACAACCTGATCGGAGATTAATGCTGAATATGTCACACATTGAATCACATGTGAATGTTAAAAGAAGACTAACAGAATAGCTGATTTGGATTTTTTTTTGGAGAAAGATAAATCAATCCAACATACAAACATAACCTAAGAAATAATCACTCATCCTGGTACATGGAAGAAGCTGAGGTTGAACTTGAAACTTCAATCACACCTATATTTAAAAACAAACAAACATTAGCATTGAGGCCATATTTGGTCAAAGGCAAGCCCTCCATTTCGTCATGCTGTACTCGATCTAGTTAACATTAGTTGCCATAGTGGTCTTTGTTTCAGTCTGTAAAGAAAATAACAACTAAACAACTTCATCTGTTTTTTAAATTAGTGTTCAATCAAGACAAATGACAGAGATAAAGAATCTGCTGAATATTGAAAGCTTTGAGGATTTTGAGGAAAATCAACTGTTTGGATGGACTGAATGAAAAAAAACAAAAAACACAACCCTCACATTACAAGTCGGTGTTTCAGTCTCGTCATTATACTAATTTTTTAGTCCAATCTCGTTACTCTTAGTAGCAGTTGTTAATCAAGAAGTGCATTTGCTCTGCGATACATGAGGGTGCTGCCCCTTCTGGAAATTTAAGGCATCACATCTTGGAGAATGCGGCGACGGCCGAGACTCCTGGACGGCTGTAGACATGCACGGGTGTGTTCTAAGAGAGTGGAAGTGAAAGAGAGCGAGAGAGAGAGTTGGTACAACTGTATACCAGATGCACATCTTAGAAAACGTTATCTGCAGACAGCTGTTTACGATTCAACATTAATAAATCTGCATTACGAAATGTTGCCACCAGACACACAAAAAAATATATACAGTATATCCAAATGTTCCGACAATTAATGTGCCCAATGTCTGTCATGGAATAACTTTCATTTCTGTTTAACATCCTTGTCCTCGTGAGCAGGCTGAATGTTATCCTTGATCTATAAACATCTGTATCCAATATGAGCTCAAATACTGAAGACTGAAAATGGTAAATTCACTTGTATAGCGCTTTTTTCTAGTCTTCTGACTACTCAAAGTGCTTTTACACTGCATGTCACACCCACACATTCACACACTGATGTCAGAGGCTGCTATGTCAAGTGTCCATCAGAAGCACCTAATCCCATTCACACACATTCATACGCCACACACGAAGCAGCGGGAGCAATTCATTCCTGCCCAAGGACACATCAGACATGTTACTGCAGGAGCTGGGGATCGAACCCTCAACCTTCCAGTTGAGAGACGGCCGACTCTACATCTGAGCCGCCCCATGTCAGCCCTTGTCAGAGGTTGGCAGTCAGTGCCAGTAAGGCCTTCTCTGCTGGCCTTAACACTGAATCAGAATCACAAATTTATATATATATTTTTATTTTATTTTATTTATCGTGATTATGATTTTTGCCATAATCAAGCAGCCCTACGATAGTTGCCTTGATATTTTAAGCTAGGGTAGATCATTCATGTCAGAAACTTTTTTTTTTTCTATGAAATTTTTTTTTTGTATGCAGACAGTAAATAATTCATCAACTGCTCTGATAAAATGAAGTAAAAAAAAATCCATTCATATGCAAACATTTGCTCCCCACAGAACAGCTGTTGAGGAAAACCATGAAATTTAAATGTGGACCTGCTAGAATAGCTGAAAACAAAAGTCAGGACACTTCCAAAAGTTTTAGTCTTCCTCTGGGAAGTCCAAAATGTCAAAGTCATGATGACACTTAAGAAACAGCCTCAGTCATTCAGATTCCTGCCTGAATGTTTGCTTCAAGTTTTATAAACATATCAAAACTACTCGCCAAGAATCAATCAGACAGTTACTATTTACCTGCTGGGCCTCATTATTGAACTTGTTGAGAAGATTCTGAACCCGGTTTCCATAGTCTGGATGGACAGCCCTCAAGTTCTCAACCTGCAGGAGAAAACAGATAATATGATATTAAGGCCCTGAAAAAGATGTTCTTTATACTTCTAACAATCAGAGTCTGATCAAATGTCTTTTGTCAAACGGTCCAGATATGATGATTCTTTTGGAAGATAGAATACCTTATTGTGATTTGACTTACTCAATTATTTATTTATGTTTATTAATAAACACTGAGAGGAAGATGGCAGATGCAGTGATCAGTTTTGGTTTCTCAAAAGTTTAGAGTTGCAATCTTGCTTGGAAACATGAAACCAGACCTGACCACAGTAAAACAGAGAGCGTGTTCTTCTCTGTGAAAGATTTCCACAGTATGACCAGGAGCCACAGTGTTGTGGTCACCTGTTGACAGTTGAGGGTGGGTGACACATGACGGAAATGAAACCAGGTCAATTGCTAGTTCTGTTATTTCACCCCTTAATATAACATCATTGTTACATTGTTGTTGAGCACTTTCCACGTTAAACACGATGACATTAAGATCCCAAATGAACGCTTATATTAGTTTAATAGCATTAATTTGTTTGCAGTTTTATGTCCCTTTCAGTGTACCATAGATAAGTCACCACAGTTAACGATTCACATTTAATGTCCACTGTGTCACATCAAACACTTCCTTTTGTTACGGTTTTCTTCTAAAATAAAGGCAGGATTTCTCTTTCAAACAGGAAGTAAAGCACAAGAGCTTAAACAGTACAACATAAAAGTATATTTATAAAAATGAAAGTACGACAAATACAGTTTTGAAATGCTCAATAAAGACATTTCAAACATAAAAATGTGATTCAAGTTGATTAGCTATTGAATTTAGCCATTTCAAAGTGTCTATAACCTGATGCAACTTCCTCCAACGCCTTCAAACTCCTTTTTCAAAGGTCTGAAGGAACAAGGTCCCCCCACATCCAAATCCTCCTGTAGCAGATTCTAAGGGCGCACTCACACTAGGCAATCTGTGCCGTGCCCAAGCACGCTTCACCGCTAAAGTTCCCCGATGTATGGACGCAGAATCGACCATGTGTCTTTATTTATTTCCTCGAGTAAGCCTGTCTTGTAAACTGAGCATGCTTCATTATTAAGTAAAGCCATGCACGTGTTGTATTACGACCTTATGTGCAAGAGGTAGCCGTGCTCGGGCCCGGTTAGTCCTGGAGCAGTGTGAGAGCAGGCCAGCGGGGTAATGGGGAGGGGGGGCAACCGTGCTTAAGCACAGTACGGGACAACTTTGCTAGTGTGAGTGCGCCCTAAGCCAAATAGGGCAGCCTACCTATAACTCCTGTATTCTCATGTAAAGAGGCACTTTGGAGACAGATATGAAAAACAGGGTGAGGAGTGTAGCTTCCAGTATTATTTAAATGAACAAAATGACATACATAAGAAGGAAGAAAGTTAAGAAATAGCTCATAAACCAGGAAATGCCAGTGATTTAGTCAACATGACAATGCAGGGAAGCTGACACAAGCATATAGTGCCAGGTGCAGTGATGAGTAAGGGCCTTCAGATTCTTAATGAACCTGAATAATCCATGGAATCTGACATCACTGAGAAAATGTATGCACAAAAGAGATGACTTAAATGTCTTTATGTAAAAGTTAGCAAATCAACCATTAAGAAGCCCTCAGACTCATTCATATCATTCTGCAATCATAGTAGAAGTCAGGATCAGTACAAATCACTGTTCCCTGACAACTTGTTAAAAAAACAATTCAGTGCATTCACCAGTTTAATAACCATGACGACCTATGTCGTCCAAGGTAATAGGAAAACAACTAAAGTTACCATTATAAACTCGTCCAAATCTTACTCCTTTTTTTAAACAATAAATGCTTAATCCCAAAATAAACTACTAACCGGACCTCTTAAGTCTTCTTTAGTAACTGTTCCCTTTGAGCAAGATTTAAGTAACATTTCTGTTCTGTTTCATTTCACACTGTATACATGATCACATTTTCTTTGATTGTTTGAAGAACACTTTAGAACTGCCTGGTGCATGAATTGTGAGATTTTAATTTCATCGCCTCTGCCTAAACCCACATACAGACACCAAGCTTCATGAGCACAGTGTTTGGTTTCCAGAGAGCTACATCCTGTGGTTTAAGCACGCTCGTTCATAAAGCCATCAGTATTTTATTTTTTAAATGTTTCCTGCTACGGGGCAATAAACATGTTAAAGAACATGTCATTTGATTTAAACAGTGGAAGTATTATGTTTGGACAACTCTTAGTAGAAGCATGACAGCATCAAGCATGTCCAGGTGACAGAGACTGTGTGGATAAAAATGCAGTGAGGACTCACCATGCGCTTTTGGATGAAGAGCTGGGCTCCTTTCAGGGCACCAGCCATGTTACTGCAAAGCCTCTCCCGCTCCTCCTCATTCAACACCTCGGTGTAGAAGGTCCGAACCTGCAATTCAAATTTGAAAACACACATTAAATACCTGGTAAGAGTAGATTGAATCAAAATGATATCCATTTCAGTCCACTTCATACAGACAGGATAGCTTCAAAATAAAGCCAATCATCTCTAGCCTTGTCACGATCCTGGTTACCTTAGAGTAGTAACACACATACAGTTCATGTGTAGATTAGTTCACTTGTTTTGTTCTACAATGATTCATTATTATTGATTTTCATTTCAGTCTTTATTTGAAAACCATATTGACTTATGTCCATGGTGACTTGTGGAAGAGGAGGAACCTGTTAGACATAACACTGATTTATTATGTTGGGCTCTGAAGCTGTTAGCTGTGTCTGTTTGGTACAGGGCAGGAAGCGCACAGGAAATTAGGAGAGAAGAAGAACCATCCTGGTGGTGAAATCAGTTTGTGTAAACCGACTGGTGTTGGTTTACACAACCGGGAATCCTGACAACTGAAAGCATTGCCCAAGAAAACGTGCTTGTAATATCGGGATGTTTTCTTCACCTGTGCGACATTGTCCTCATCTGCACTGTTGTAACGGCTCACATCTGGAGACACCTTGAACTTGGACTCCACAAACTGAGGCTGGGTGTCAGGAGCACTGAAGCTGTTGGGATAGTAGTTTGGGGCTCCACCTAGAAGCCGGACAGAACAAACTGCTATGTTAAAATCTGAACAGAATAAAGAACTTTATTGACTGTGTGCATGGATGACTGAGGTTAGTTTTAAACTCAGTTTGAATTAGATGAGCAACTTACAATTCTTCTTAAACACCCTCCTATTAGTATGAGTCCTATTGCATTTCATACAGTCTCAATGGCGACATCTGTTGGGCAACTCTTGGTCTTGCACTGTTGTATTTTACCAAGTCTTTTCAGAAAACTAAATATTTGTATGACTGGATGTGAGTGGGAGATCAAATGTATTAAACTGATGTGTTTTATAGACTGAATTCACTCTAACTTCATCACTCAGGTTTGATGTTTGTCGTGGTGTGCTTTGTCTCAGATCAGGTGGCTCATCTTTCCTGGACACACTGTGAGTAACCCAATCGCTGCAAATACTACAATGCTCCTTTGATATATACAGACTAAAAGATAGATTAGGTAGATTATACAAGATTTATTTTTTGCGCTACATACAAAGCTTCAACAGTAAAGCCTTTGAGTCTGTCTCTGTTATTGCGTCACACACAGGTTGGACTATGACTCACCTTGGTTGTCAAACATGCACATCGGACCATCGCGCTGGTAGTTGGTCACACGGCTCCTGAATGGACAGTTGACAGGGAGCTGCAGGTAGTTAGCTCCTAGCCGGTGTCGATGCGTGTCTGGGTAGGAGAAGAGACGGCCCTAGACAAAGATAAAGGAGATGAACATCAACAGGGCATCGCTTAACTGAAGGGTCTGTCTTTAAAAAAACAAAACAAGATTTCTCGTTGGTCATTTATTCAAAAGATTAGGGTCCAGACTAAGACCTGCTGGGAGACAATAAAGTCTTGGGGGTCACCAAATGCCCTCATTAAGATGCCTGAACATGCACTTAAACAGGACACCATAGAGACAGTTATTATTTGAAGTTACAGGAACAGTTTAGCTGAAATAACTTTTTTTAGATTCAGTATTACTGGAAAATGTGTCAAGAATAACAAATGAAAAGAAAGAAAGTTGTGTTTACCTGCAGCATCTTGTCTGGGCTGGCCTCGATACCTGGTGGCATGTTGCTGGGATCGAAGGCGAGTTGCTCCACCTCAGCAAAGTAGTTCATTGGGTTCCTATTGAGCACCAGTTTGCCCACAGGGATCAGAGGGTACTCTTTGTGAGACCAAACCTGAATGAGATACAGTAGCTCCATTAGAAGAAGAAAAGATGGTACCACTACCATCCGACTGTAGGATGGGTACAACACGCACAGAGAAGTTTTTGTATTCATAGACTTTACTATTGATGAGCACTTCAGCTCAAATTCATGTAAACATTTAAAACTAGACATAGGATACAGAGCCACTGTTACTTTGACACAAACACTGATTTCAGTTATCAGATGTTTAAAATGCTAACAAAAAGGGAGGCAGAAACACTAAGACATATTGCTCGTGGACATCTTGATGTCTGAACAGTGTGTGCCTTGAACTTTTTGTGATTTCTGACATCTTTAGCAGGAATATGCAACAGAGCAATAGAAACTTTTCTAAAGTGTGTCCTTCATTTGTGGAGCTTCTCTTTCATTTTAGACTTAATCAGGTAAAAGTGTTTTTATCAACATTACATTTTTTATTGATTAGTTATTTGTCTCCTCCTGAGGGGATAACTGTATTAACTTAGAGCAGTAAGCAGGTTAATAATTTCATAACCCTTAAAATCATTATTCCTCTTAGTCATACTATGCTTAATAACGAACAATGATATGAGATGAGATGAGATTCAACTTTATTGTCATTACACATATACAAGTATAGAGTAACGAAATGAGGTTTGGCATCTCACCAGAAGTGCAAATAAGCAGAAAGTGCAAGAGTCTGTGCTATGTACAGTAATTGAGTGCAAGAGTCTGTGCTATGTACAGTAATTGCAAAAAATTTACAGATGTAGACAAAAAAAGTGAATTATTAGGTAAATCTGGATGGCTGGATTAATGGGATGCTATAAATATAAATAAATGCTATAAATAAGTAATGCTACAAAATAAGTGTGTTCTTAGGATTATAATATACAGATTAAGATGCAGTGAGCATGCTATACTAATAATATACAGATTGCTATCCACAAACAGACACTTGAAGTCTCCTACAACAGCTTAGGTTGTGAGTGCATTTTAGCCTTTAGGTACAACTGCTGTAGAAAGATTAAGATTAACTTTATTGTCCCAGTGGGAAATTTGTCTTGGACTTCACAGAGCTCTGATGCAGTAGCAAAAAATAACAAAATACATTCATTCGTCGGTAAAACATGTCAGTTAAATAATCATAAAATGCCATACGAGTGAATTACTAAAACCATAAATATGTAATAGTTATGAAAAGTGATAACAGTGCAGGTACATCTACACATCTTCACACACACTCACCACCTCATACATGCACACGTATACACACACATTCCAGCTTAGGTAATGTTGAGGGCTTTGATGGACAAGGGAACAAAGGTATTTCTGAAATGGTTGTTCCTCCCTCGGGGTACTCTGTATCGTCGGCCTGAGGGGAGGAGCTGGTACTCAGGGTGAAGAACATGAGATGGGTCTGAGATTATTTTTTGTGCCTGTCTGATTATGGTTTGTTGAAAGATGTCTTGGAGGCTGGGGTGCTGATGAACTCCCATGATTTTCATGGCTGTCTTTGTGAGTCTGTTGATTTGGGCCTTTGACTGAACGATCAAATTTCCAAACCATGCAGAGATACCATATCGTAGGAGGCTCTCTACTACTGCATGGTAGAAGAGAAGCTGCACTTCCCGGGACACACCAAAGGTCCTGAGTCTTCTCAGAAAGTGAAGCCTCTGCTGCACTCTGGAGCAGACAGCTTCCACCTGGGACTTCCACACTAGTTTATTGTCTATGTGGATGCCAAGATATTTGTAGGACTCTACTTGTGTTATGGTGTGATCATGGATGACCACTGGTGAGTGGTCGCCAAGAGACTGAGGGTCGAACACCATCTCATTTGTTTTTTTTGTGTTGAGGAGGAGATGGTGTTCGTCACACCACTGCACAAAGTTGTTGGTTGTTGATGTATATGTGTGAATGTCCGAGTCTGTTTGCAGAAGGCCCAGGATGGCCGTGTCATCGGAAAATGTAACAACATGTACGTTTCCACTGTTGCTGGTACACTGATTTGTGTAGAGAGTGAACAGCACTTGTGAGCTAACACACCCCTGGGGCACTCCGGTGCTGATGGTTGTGAGCTCTGACACAGTTCTGCTCACTCTGACTTGCTGGGTGCGGTTAGTGAGAAATGAATGATACCATTTAATGATGAATGGATCATGACCCTAAGCTGATTTAGTGTGTTCAGTAGAATGTGAGGCTGCAAGGTGTTAAACGCTGAACTAAAATCAACAAACAGTAATCTAGCATAGGCCTTGGGATTCTCCAGATGTTTAGTGACCATGTGCACTAAGCTATTGATAGCGTCATCAGTACCTCTATGCTGTCTGTATGCAAATTGGTATGGGTCTAGCTGTGGGCCTACCTCCGTCTTCAGCCTGCTCACCATAAGTTTTTCCATACATTTCATTACAACAGGAGTTAAAGCCACTGGTCTAAAATCATTACAGTCTTAAGGACATGGAATTTTTGGGATAGGTGTGATGACTGCCTTTTTCCACATTGCTGGTACAGTGTTTGTATCTACTGACCTCTGAAAGATGGGGCACCAAGCAGGTGTTAGTTCCTCTGCACACATCTTTAATAAGAAAGCAGAAATGCCGTCTGGCCCTGTGGCCTTGTTGACAGTGACACTTTTAAAAACATTTTCCACATCCTCAGGGTCGATTAAAATCCTATCTGCCCCAACAGTGGGAATGTTCTCCAAAACACTATTACACTCTGCTGAGAAATCTTGTTTATCAAACCTTTTGAAGAAAATGTTCAGTTCATTTGCTGTGGATAATTCATCCCCAGCATATAAAGATTTTTTAGTGGATTTCATGTTGGTCATAGTTTTCACAGAGTCCCATAATTTCCTGTTGTTCATGTTTTGTAGATTATCCTCCAGTGTTGCCCTGTGTTGTTGTTTTGCCTCTCTCAGTCTTTGGTTTAAGTCTGATTGTACTGCTCTTAGTTGTAGATGGTCCTTATTCTTGAATGCATGAAGTTTTTTCCCGTTGATACAGTCTCTTACCTCCTTTGTGATGTAAGGTTTACTGTTAGGGTAAACTTTTATTGTCTTTTTAAGGATCACAGAATCAATGCAGAAATGAATATAGTCTGTGGTGACTTCTGTAACACAGTCTACATCATTCTCCTCAGAAAAAGTGTCCCATTCTGTGCATAAGAAGCAGCCTTTCAATGTGTCAATACTCTCTTTAGTCCATACATTGGCAGATTTAACAAGAGGCTTGCTGCTCTTAAGAGCTGTTTTGTAAGCAGCGATCAGATGGATATTGTTGTGGTCAGAATTTGCGGAAGCTGAATATGCACCCTTGATATTTCCATAACATTTGTCCAATGTTTTTCTCTTCCTGGTGTCGCATTTTATATATTGTTCAAAACCTGGGAGTGCAGTGTTCAGATTACAGTGTTTAAAATCTCCCATAATAAAGATGGGGGCGTTTGGTGTGCGTTGAAGCTGCTCTTGTACACAGTCCGCCACTTCAGAAGCTGCCCTGGATGCGTTACCGTCAGGGGAACATAAACTGAACATATCAGAATATTTCCAAACTCCCGGGGCAGGTAGAAAGGTCTTAGGCTAACACACAGTAGTTCAACGTCCTTGTTGCAGACAGTTCCCTGAACTGTGTACTGCCTGCACCACTTGTCATTGACATACACTCAGAGCCCGCCTCCTTTGCTCTTCCCGGAGTCCTCAGTTCTGTCAGCGCGGATATGGCTGAAACCTTCAATTTCGACCAAAGGCTCTGGTACATCTGATGTTAGCCACGTTTCAGTAATAGTCATGATGCAGGACTCACGGTATTCAAAGCAGGCTTTTGACAGTAGTCGGAGTTCGTCCAATTTGTTTCTGTGTCCGTGTTAGCGCCACCCTGAGCCATGCTCAGAAAGATGTGGTACCATGGTAAGATCGAAGGGGTTTCTTTTTTAAATTTTTTTAGACATTTTTTAAAACTGTTTTTTGTGACTTTTTAGAAAAACAGTCGAATCCATATAACAAACTATTATACTTTATATGGATTCTACTGTTTTTTTTGTCTTCTTTTTTTATTTGTGATAGGCATATGTAACGGAGTTAAAATGCACTTTATTTTTGAGTACAGTTTACAATTTATACTTGAGATTTCATTTATAATTTATTTCTGTTAAGTATTTGTGTATTTTATCTTAACGAGTTATGTATATTTACTGTTATTTTATCAAATTTATGTTTCCTTTGAGTATTACCTTTTTGGCACTTTGCGGCTTCTGTACCTCCTGGGTTACCGTAGCTCCTTCCATCTGTCCCTCACAGTGCCGTTTTGCATTGCTGAGGGTAAGTTGTATGTAGAAACGTTGCTGCATCATTACCTTATTTACTGTGGAAAATAAGTGATTTAAGTTGTAATGTTCAGTTTATTTTATAAAATGATAGTAATACGATGTTAATCAGTCATTTTGTTTAGGTTTTGAGAGTTTTATATCACTTTGGAGACTGTTTAATTTGTAGCGGTTTTGGCGCGAATTGTGTAATATCCTACAGCGCCTGTGTCACGTGATTGACGTAGTGCCGCAGATATTCTCAGTTAAAATAATATTTATTTTGCATGTGTAGGAGCAGAGGTGCAGAAAACAAATGTCCAGAAGGCACATTGAATGTTCTTTTGTCTTCTGCAGGTATGTTTTTCCTTGTATTTTCATACTTTCTGTTTTGCTTTACAGCCGCATGTTGTTGTTTATTTTGTGCACTAGGTGTCACTGTTTTACCATTTGGTATACTGTTTCTCATGTTTTTTTAATGAGATTTATTGTTAATATACACTGTAAAACCGAAGTTTTTCAGCCATTTGTAGCAGCTTTGGTTATAAATATTTACATATAGTTAAAATATTGAAATGATGATTGTAATATATTTCTATGTAATATAAATTTGTTTTGAGCTCAGACAGTGCCGTTTTGCATTGCTGAGGGAAATAAAAGCTGGAAAACAGTCAAAGTCTGGTTCTCTTCACTCCCCTGACCAGATCCGTTACACATACTGAAGTGTCTGATGTAACCAGGAAGGAGATAATATAAGTTTACAATGGGCGCGTCTGGAGATAGTATCTGAAGGAGATTTAGAAGTCCCCTCAAGTGGAATGTTTAAATTGAGGTGTTGTGTAGGAGTATTGCCATATATGGTTGTGTTACTTGATGTTTTTATGACGAAAAGCGGATGTTTAGATGCATATAAGCAATTGTCTCTGTGTGTTCGGGAGAGATCATTATTGGCTTCTTGATCCTCCTGGTCAGACGTGAGCAGTGATTCTGTTTCTTGCTTAAAAAAAATTATACTCTTTGAAAGCAAGTCAGTCTCAACGGCGAATTTCTTCATCATCAAACATATCAACAACAAGGAAATCCACATCAATACTGACCCATTGTTTCTCAAATGGGGGTCCGTGTACCCCAAGGGGTACTCTGAGGTACAACTACGAGGAGATCTGGCGAAAAACCACTGTGGTGAGTTGAATATCTATAGCATATCACCTGATAGGACCCAACTTTGTGCAAACCGAAATATCACTTTAACCAGATGCTTGTAGGTACATATGCATCAATGGTCCTGCTCCTTGGACTCCTAATCAAACCTCTTCATACTGTCTGTAAACTTTTTACATCTGATATAATCCTGTTTCCTCTCACCATGTTGATTTTGCAGACTAAATTTAGTGGGGATTCTTTTAATTGAGTATTGGTTTTATATTATCTATTATATACTGTACATCTAACCTTACTGCTGAGCTGTGAAAGATTAGCATAACAAGAGCTGTACATGCATGGAATGCACACAGAATCCCAGGTGAGTTAAATAAAAAAAACATGTATTACACAATCCAATCCTTTTTTGTGAGCTTTTTATTTTTATTTTAAAGTTGACAGTGAATTTTAACAATAATGACATTTTGTGACCTATGCTTTGCTTCACAGGCAAAGGAACACCCAATTGTTTGGCAGCAGGAGGATGTCCAAAAAAAACTGGGAGAGTAGTTGTTGCCACATGCCTCCCAAGCAGCCAGGGACGGACTGGGACTACAAGACAGCCCTGGACTTTTACTCGGCCGGCCCACAGCAATCGATACGCGGAAAGTTATCAACGCCTGGCACAGGTGTCACAATACTTGAATCATGACTCATTACACTATACCATCCAAATTACAGCAATAGCACTGATGTTGATTATAACATCATCTATTCCATGCAATCTTATGATTACTTTATTACTCAATAATCTTAATTAAATTATGCAGTAATTAACTTACTGCACAAATAATAATGAAAATACATCACTACAAATGTAACTTCTGTATTCAAAGTCTTCAAAGTTTGTAAGTATTATCAGAAAACTGTAACGTTACCAAAACTTTAAAAAGTAAAAGCACAACAGTTTTTTTTATATATACAGTATGTAGCCTATTTCTTAATATTACTGCACTGTAAAAACTGAGATCGGGGTTAATTAATATTCACCAAATAAATTCAAGTAAAATATACATAATAAAAAAAACTATGGGCTGTTTCGACTAATGGTTTGTTAAATTAAACAAATATCAAGAAATTGTTGGTAACATTTTACAGCGATTGAGTGCGTGTTTCTGTGTGTAAAACCAGCTTTGAAAATTTATGTGAAATGTAATTATTTTGGATCGGAACATGACAAATGCAAAATATTGATTAATTTTAATTAAGGGGAGGTCTTTGGTTTTAGTCTCTATAGACTTCCGCGCACTTATTTTCTCTTCACGGAGTGACGTTCATCGTCAGTGCCACACATTGAGGACTCGGCTACTTTTTCCTCAGGTAAGACCTGCTTTTCTGATTTTAGTCAACAGTTTGGTACCAAGCGCTTGTAGAAGTTGAATATTTTTTGGGCTGCTGCGAGTTACTAAATAATAGCCTACAACTTTAATTCCCTGTTTAGTAACAATAAGACTGTTTTTGTCCGAAGTTAGCCTGCCATGACTTTGAATTAACATGAGAGACAAGGACTTCAATATGGGTCTCTAAATGACGTTACGTTGTATGACAATGTTTCAGTGCAACATTATGATCATAACGTTAATGTAATAAATCAGCTCCAAAAATGTTTATCTTTTACCGAACTGCAGCACGAGCAGCTAAACCGTAAGGAGCTAGCAAACAAGCTCCGTCAGTATATGTCACCATGCTGAAACAGCCCTACACAACAAGGACTGTGGAAGTTATCGCTGAATTCTGTTCACATTTTAATGCACACATATTAGTCTCGAAAGGCTACTTTTAACTCTTTTCCCAATATGTAACCCCCCCTCCCCCCACCGCAGGCACACACACACACACACACACACCACAGACACGCACACACACACACACCGCTGACGTGCGTGCGCGCGCACACACACACCACAGACGCGCACGCACACACAGACACCTTAACGAGGGAACATGTTACAACTTGAACCGCCTGCTTCAACGCTCATGGCTGAACAAGGACAGTGTCTGTGGTGAGTTAGAAAAATTAAGCCAACAACATTTCGTCTCACCTGACATTAAGTAATAGTTTTTATTTAAGAAGCGTATAGTTTCATACTTTTCAAATTTGCGTGTTCCGGGAGTAATATAAAAAAAATTATCTTGTTGCACTGTTGTACAAGATATGTTTTCCCTCCTTTGCTTTAATACAAAGGTCTACTGTTGTGTTTTAGACACTCTGGTTCTTAGGGTACACAACATTGAGGGCTTTATCTGGCCAAAATGATCACGAAAAATCCACCGCTCGTCTAATATATTTATGAGTCCGTTTTTTACATAAATTTTTTTTTTACAAACATGCTGTTTATACGCATCAAACATGCGTATAAACAGCATGTTTGATGGAGGTCTGTGTACATTATAGTTATTATAGAGTTTAGAATAGCTTGACAAATGGTAAATAAATGCTTTCATAAGCATATACCAAAGGAAAAAATACTGCTCAAAGCTTGCACTTTCACAGTGCAGGAGACAAAATGGTGATTCTCACCATTGAACAGCACAACTTCTAGCTGCTTAATGAACACTAAAATGAGGAAACAATAGATTCAACTGCAATTGCAGAAAAAATACATTTTACTTTTGATTAATTATGAATTAAACCCTTCATTACAAACCTCAGAGTCGGATTTACAGAAACCATAATTTATTTTTAGTTCATGTACTTTTTCTAAATGTTTAAGCCATTGTTTCTTTTATTGACTTGTCCCTCATGAGCCCATTTAATTTGGTAACTGAATCCTCACTTGTCCTTTACTATTTCAATCTGTTTTATAGTTTATTTTAGTTATTATTGCAAATACTTTTTATGTTAAGAGCAAAATAACCTTTTTTACTGTAGGTTAACTAACTATCAATTTAATATTTATAGATATGTTTGGGCTTCTGTCTGTGATGCTATTGAACTTGTCTTTTCACAGTCTTGAGAGGAACACAGAGATGGAGGCAAAACTCCGAATATTGATTGATGACCAAATTGAGAAGTTGATCCTTCCATCAGGCATCCCATCCACTGTGGAGGAGCTGCAAACTGTTGTGAAGGAGGCTTTTAGTGTATCTGACGAGTTCAGTCTTCAATATCTTGACCCAGAATTCAAGGATTTCTTTACTCTCAGAAGAACGGACCAAATCAAACACAAGGACACAATAAGGGTGGTCAACTCGTCTTCGGTCATTCTCAACTTGTTTCCAGTTGATGAAAGTTTAAGCAGTTCCTTTGGCCAGACGACTACTGACTGTGATTCTGCATCACTTGCAGAGTCATTTACTGGATCGTCTTCATCACAGGACACTCTTATCTTGCAGAGGCACAGTAACACAGAACGATATCAGCCATGGCCAAAAATGTTTCCCATTCCCCAATTTGCTTATGAAACTGAAATGTGCATCACAAGAGCCATGGAAGAATTCAAGAAGAGCGGAACTCTCCTGACTAGCTCAAAAATCAAGGCAGATGTACTTGAGAAGCTAGCTGAAAATATATATACATATACTGCCTATCCATCCAGTGCTCAAATAAGCGATGTTGCTGAGGCTCTCGTCACAAAATTTCCATGTCTCAAGGAACCTGGCTCGTACTCTGGATTCTACGGCTGGCAACAAAGCATAAAATACAAGATGGCCAATTATCGCACCAAACTTCGTGGCTATGGTGTTCCTGAGGTTTTATGCAATGCACTGAAACGCAAGAGCTCTGCTGACCAGAGGTCAGCTAAAAATGTGAAAAAGCCTCGAAAGGCTGAGATCAACTACCTCCCTCCTTACCCAGCAGGTGAGGATGAAAACAGTCAAGAACAAGTGAGGATTCAGTTGCTCAGTGAAGTCATGAAGAGGGACAACAACAAGATAATTAAAGAAAAAATGGCAAAGACATTTGCCCACAGAAGAAATGAAATCATCAACTGTTCACCATGCATTGAAGACATCAAAGCCAGATGGCCAGCTCTTTTTGAGCCATCTCATGTGAGTTACATATAGATGCTATTAAGAAATATTTTTTTCTGTTGTAAATGAATTCACTAGTGGTTGTGGATAAGAAGGTTGATGATGTAATGTACTTGAATGAAGCATATTAACCAGCTGGATAGTTAGATGATTTAACCCAGAAGGTAAAGAATCCATAGTTAGTTTTAATACAAATCATACAAATAATGATAGGACTGGGGATTACATGTTGTATAAAGAAATGTAAGAACAATATTTACACTTGAAATACTTTAGGGTTTAAAACTGATTTCTTGTTTGTCTCTCAGCTTCAGGATGAGTTTCTTAAGATCACGATGGTCAGCCTTGAATCCCAGTTCATGTTCAAGCTTGATGAATACACTCCCAGACTGCTGAAAATCTTCCACTCCAAGGGCGGAAGTATGGGTTTGAAGTTACGGTCCATCCTACTCAAGGTATCCTCAAACAATTTTTCTGTTAGGCCAAATTGAAGTTCAGACATTTTGTGGTCAAATTACTCTAATATTACCAATTGTAGGATTTGGAAAATATGTGATCTAATGCCTCTTGCGCATGCTCAATAATCACATTGCAAGGGTATGCGATGTCAGTCATGTGACCAGAAACAAGTTATGCTGCCATTTATCTGTTGCTTCATTTAAAATAACTCACCAGTTTCTCTTTAACCATGAATAATGATAATGATAACAAAAGGTCTGATATCACATAAGTTCAGCCTATCACCAGATCACACAGAGAACTGACTGCTTTACATGCAGAATGTGAGCAGACATATATGCTGCTGTCAAACAAATCTCTCTAGCCAGAATTTCTGTGACTCCCTCCAAAAAAGAGCCATGTGTTATTTTATAATGCATTGTTGTCTTGTACTTTTAGTACAGGAATTATATGCCAGTTAGCCAGCTAACAAACTCTATTAACCTAATAATAAAAATGCAGTTTAAACAGTTTCAAGGTTAAATGATTATTTTAAATCATGAATTTGGTTGATTTTTATTTCAGGTTCCCAGCAGTCCTACCATCGATGAGAGTAGAGAGGCTGTCATTCATTGTTTGTTGGCTTATCTTGGGGAATCTACTGATCAGCTCTTGAAAGAGTATGATGTAAGTTTAAGTCCATCTTAAAAAATGCAAGTGCTGTCAGTGTTAACGCAAGTTGTGATTTATTCAGAGACCTTGATGCAACTTTTTTCTTATGCATTCTGTGTGTGTGAGTTCAGGTAATTCTATGTATTTCTACAGATTTTGGACTTCTGCATTGGCTCCATTTTCCAACAGAAAAATGAAAATGCTAAGTTTTTAAACAGCATCAACTCTGTTGTAGTGTAAACTGGCAACAAGCAGTTCCTCTAAAAACAGAACTGCATCTGCTCATTACGCAGCTATTAGTGAGTAGGTGTAGAACAACAACCAAACCTTCTTAGTGCCAGCGTCTTTCTTCAGTTGTTTTCAATAGGTAGAGAGCGTTTGCAGCCGCCTGAAGAAAACAAGCTCTCTGCCGTTTTTGTGCGGCTGCTCCGAGCGCTCAAGTTAAAAATCTTTCAACCTTTCAGAAAGGCGCTGTTGACGTCACAGACGCTCTTTTCAAAATCTATGATATACCCCGTATTTTAGCCTCCTACAGGTCGTATCTTGTACTCACATCCTCTTTGCTCCGTTTCTGCTTGGGTAAAAAATAATCTCAAATATAAAACATGCAGTAAAAAGTAACACAGCTGTGTCAGTCTTAGAGCTGCCGTTGTCAACAAACTGTTGTCATAGAGAGAGGATGGATGCGTGCAAACACTCCCGAGTGCACAGCCAGCGCTTTACTGCCCAGAAAAAACGCTAGCTGGACACGGGGCCTTAGTCACTGTTTTAAGCAGGGTGAAATATGTGCCATAGCTTTGATAGACCAAGGCTATATTGTCCAAAGGGGTGAAGAGAATTTGGTGATTATTAAATAATCAACCTCAATTTTATCGTCCCCTAGGGGAAATTAGTTTTTGCAGCCAGGTGAAAACAAATAAGGTGTGGATCACACAGGCACATTAGGAACAACATTCAAAAATGTTAAATACATAATTACTCCCTCCTTATTAGAGCTCATTAGCTTGATCGCCTGAGTTTATAATAATGACCTTTGTCTGTGGCTGTACAGTCTGATATACACAATATTCTTGTAATTCCAGGATGCTGATGAAGACAGTGTGGCACGGGACCTGGCTGTACAAAGCATGAAGAGGTACAGAATCAAGACCAATGTGTCAGAGGACCCTGAAGACATTGGAATTGTGGTTTACGGTGTCAAAGCTCTTACTGCTTTGAAGAACTTTCCCAGGGCCTGCTCCATGCTTGTTGGGCTGACATATGCAGTGGATCTTGCCTATCCAAAGGAGCTTCGATACACATTTGAAGTTTTCCAAAAACTCCTTCTTGAACTGGATAGTTCAAAGCTGTCCCCAAAAGTTACCAGCCTCAAGAATAAACTGTTAGCTTGAATAAAGGGACAATTGAAGAATGAGGTGGATGTTAAAGTCACTGTCAGGTGTTAATCATAGACGTTCAAGTTCACAAAATTGTACACAAAATTTCATACAGTACAAAGATAAGAATACATACTTGCAGTTCAGAAATATTGTTCAAATGCTAAGTACTTAAAAAAAAGCTAAGAATATTCTGTGCTTGTGATGGACAGAGATTATTGTGCAGTGTTGTTAAATGCTTATAAGCTTTTGAATCTTTGAGTAATGACAGGTCTTTGTTAGTACACTGATGGGAGCCTAGTAACTATGTGAACAAGACCCTGTGTTAAGCATTGTTTACCAAAATGATACACCATAAGGCCAGTGGATGTTCTTTGCCTGTAGTACACATGGTTTACAGCCTTTTTTTGTAGCTCCTCCCAATATTTTATATTTGCATAATATAGCACTAAAAAAGGTTTTATAAGCTTGTTTATAATACATGTTTTTACTGTTTGTACTGTCCTTTAATGCACTGTGATCTTTTGTAGTGGTATTAAGTAAAGCTTACTACAAAAAAGCCAAAGTATTGAGTAGATTGTGCTTAGAAAATGTATGGCAACAAAGTGACAATCAAATGTATTGAATAGATTTAAAGCACTGTGATACTTAATGAAGCATAAATTTAATCAATTATTCTAGGTAGAAATAATTAGGAAAGGCCATGTAAATGTGTTGAATTGATTGTTTTTATTAATGTTACTAAGTGATTCCAAATATTTTTTATGTAGATTATCCATAAAAATAATTCAATTTTGATTCAACAATTAGTAAATTAAAATACATTTCTACCAAATATTAAGTACATATTAATAAGTTTCCACTATATTTTCAGTAAATTTGAATTAATTTCCACCAAATACATAATTTAAAAAAGTTAAATTTCCTCAGTTACCCCATAAATATAAATAACTTTTTCGTGAGAAATTGTGTTTGATTTACTTAATTTCTTTTGCTATATAACTCATATTTTGGCATCATATTACTAAATGCAATACATTTAAACACATTTTTAAAATAGTATGTACTAATTTAGTTTTTTTTTAAATAACTGAAATAATTCAGTAGTTTTTATTAAAGTTGAAGAACTTTAAATCTACTTAATAAATTTACGTGTCACTTTGTTGCCTTAATTTTTTTAAGTAACTAATAGTCAAACTTTTTACGGTGTGCATGGGGCATTTTACACCTAAAATGTTTAAAGTGGAGCTGTTTTAACTACTATAATCATTATTTCACTTTATTTTATTTCATTTAATTTTTTGCATTGTACTGAGCAACACAAACTGGGTATAGATAAAAATGTAGCAACACCTGAATAACATTTGCTAACATCAACCAGCAAGTAACTCTCTTTCTCCCTCTCTGATGTCAAGTTCCAGCCCTGAGCTTCCACCAGCTCATCTCTCTGTCCCTCATCATCACATGTGACCCTACCATGCTGAGGCTGCACAACTGTCCGGCTCAACTCTCTCTTCTTCACTCATGCTGCTAACTTCTTGGATGCTGCTGCTAACGTCAACTTGTGCCTCAGTGCTGCTGCCGGCTGTGCTGCTGAACATTTCAGTGAGCTTGCGACATTTAGCGGCTTCACTTTCTAAATGTCGCATTTTTTTTTCCCTCGCCTTCTCAGCCCCACCCTTTTCTTTGTGTTTTTTTTGACAAACGTTATCCATATTTTTGTGCTTCACTACTACTACCAAAGATCGTCTTCGCTGCTACTAGTGATGTGTCGGTCATGAACGATTCGTTCAAAAAGAACGAATCTTCTAGGTGAACGAACTGAACTGAATCACTTACTGAAAAGAGTCGTTCATTTCTCAACTTCAGTTGCGCTCTCCTCTCTCCCGTCTCGTATCTCTCTCTAGACCGTAAGAGAGTCGCTCAAAGCCCGCCCTCCCTCTCCCTTTCATGTCCGTGATACATACTGACTGAACCAACAGGACGGAGTCGGTCGGGAGACTTTTTTAACATCCACTAACAATCGTGTTTCAGTCAGTACATTGTGTGTGTGTGTGTGTGTGTGTGTGACTGAGGCTGGTGACTCGCAGTCTCGCTCGTTCACGTTCACTGAACGAACTGAACGAGAGCTCCGACGTGAATCACTGAACGAACTGAGAGGAGGAGCGGAGCCCTCAGTCAGTGAAGGAACTGAACGAGAGCACCGCCTCCGAGTCACTCTCTTCCTCTCAGTCAGTCAGTCAGTGAGTGATTTGTGTACTGAACGTACTGAACAGAATGGTCGGGGAAAATAAATGTAAATTCTCAGCTCATTAGTTTATTATTCACCACCTGCTGTTCTCAGTACGATCGCGAGCAGAACTAAACGTTCGGTCGTATTTCAGCTTATTAAATTCTGATTCTCAGACAGAGCTGCAGAGAAGTACTGAACGATTCGGTGAACGAATCTTTTGAACGAATCACTTTACTGAACTGATTCTAATGATTCAGTACACTGAAAAGAACTGCTTTTCACATCACTAGCTGCTGCTACTACTACTTCTTCTTTTAGATTATAGCTGGTGGGCACAGGCAGCTGCCGGCTGGCATCCAACTTTAAGACGCATTGTTTCCACCTACCGGACTGGAGTGTGAAACAGTAAATTAGCAGGAAAAAAAAAAAAACTGGTGATGACTGCGTGGCGGCCGCCGGCCATCCTGGAGTACCGGCCGTTCTGTGATTCTCCAGAACACACAGATGGCCAGTCCGCCCCTGCACCCAGAGGTGAACGTGTTGTGTTGATCACCTAAAAGTTTCAGTGCGAAATCACTTCTAAATGCAGTAGCCTGCTGTTGCGCCTTTATCACCAGCTTTCATCAGACCGTAAATATGTAACTATTACTGAACATTTCATTCTTATACAAAGACGATATCACGCACAGGCTGCCCGATCATACAGAGGTCCGCTGGTTTAATCATGGAGCAGCGCTAAAATTCTTCCTTGAATTGCGCACGGAGATGGCAGAGATTCATGGAGCATAAAAAGTCAGTGACAGAGTTAGATCACGATATTGCGGACACGTAGAAGAACGGACTGCCAGACTCATATGAAAAGTCGTTTAACTGAGTCTACTTAGTTGAAGAATGTGCACCCCACACGGAGCTGATCAGACTGCAGTGCGCAATGCTGAAGGATCAATTCAAGTCAGTTTGTTTGGAAACATGTTATCATTTTATAATGCCTCATACTTAAAGACCCGAAGATGCATCAAAGACACTCTGTTTGTTTGTGACAACTTATTCACGTGAGCAGGTTTTATCTGTAATGAACCTTAACGAGTGCAAACTGTGCTGTGGCCTGACACACACAGATCTAAAGTCTCTCTCTCTCTCTCTCTCTCTCTCTCTCTCTCTCTCTCTAATGCACTGAGCCCAGGGCAGGTAGAATAAGGTGTCAAAGTGTCTATAACCTTGAATAGCAATATTTAAACATAATATAATAATCTCAATCAAAACATAATTATTGATGTTTTCTTCTGTAATGTGGTACATTTAAATATTTCCATGTGCCAACATGCAGTTTGCAATGACAGAGTTAACCCCTCTGCTTAATGTTAATGTTAAAGTTTTCTATACAATCATACATTAGCCTATATATCCATGTGTTGAGTTATAGTGATGTCGGCAAAATTAGTCCGGCCCACTTGAGGTCTCATTTGGACAAATCCGGCCCCCGACCCAATAGGACTTTGACTTTGACATATCCTTTAGAGTCTAAAGAATATAATATATATCTTAAAAAAAATATGGAAAACCGTTTTAACTTCTGCATGAACATGCTCATCCAGACACGCCTGAGACAAAACATAAAAGGCATATCAGTCAGTATGCTCGTGTCAAACACAAAGACAAAGGACACTTTGTCTATAATGTAATTTTTATTTAGTTTTGTAAACACACGATACAGATTCAGGTAATAATAATAATAATACTTTATTTGTATAGCACTTTTCTATACAAGTAGCAAAGTGCTTTGCAACAGAAAATAAAAGCAGAGACAATTAAAGCAACAGGCAGAGCGTAAACAAGCAGACAACGAAATCAGACTAATAAAATGAAAAATAAAAACAATTAACGATATCACAGAGTAAAAGCATTTTTATAAAAGAATGTCTTGAGTAGAGATGTAAAACAAGGGACTGACTCTGCAAGTCTGATCTCCTCTGGCAGGCTGTTCCAAAGTCTGGGGGCTCTGACAGCAAAGGCCCTGTCCCCTTTAGTTTTTAGCCTGGAACAGCCGGTAGGGCTCTGCCAGAGGATCGCAGACTGCGTATTGGTTCATAAGTGGTTAAAAGGTAGGCAAGTTATAGTTTTTATTTTGCAAAGCCTTGTTTTTATTTTAGTTTCAGTAAACCAAAATGATTTTACAGTTCATTTTCTATCAGTTTCTATAATAACCATAACCATAACCATAACGATTATATGAATTTTCCTGAAGTCTCACCATGATCACAGTGAACATAATAATGGAGATTAGGACCCCTATGCCAAACAAAACAGATGATATAATGTTGAAGGTGCGGGCGGTTCCTCCATAATGTCGAGCCCCCTCCAGATCACCAACCATCTTGCGATCTCTGGACTGAAACGACAGAAGCACCTCTCATTATGTTCAGTAAGTTGTTTATCTTCAAGAAAAAAAACAAAGTTGAACACGTTTATTTTTTACATCTTTGTCAAGATAATGTAAATATTTACGGATGATTGAATGATTGTATAATGAAGCGAAAATGGTCTTCATCTCAAACCTGTCATCCTTTCAATGATGAGTCTTTTTTTTCTTACTCACTGATAGTTTGGAATTTCAAATTGAAAAAATCTCCAAAAAGACCCTTCAAATAAAGCGAAGCTTTTAACAATACTTTTACATGTTTTTGAAATTTAAGAACTTCACTCAAGTTTTCTGCAAAAACCACAGGAAAATTCTTCTCCTGGTATTGTTCATGAACATTTTATGCTTTTTCAATGTCAAAGACCGAGTTATTTTGTTCATCAGTGAGTCTTAACTGATGTTTTTAAACTGACCTTGATGGAGTAGATGAGAGCCACCAGTCCGAGGCAGAAGGGGTTCGAGTAGACGAAGGAGAAGAAGGACCAGATGATGTAGTCTTTGGGGGGCTCAGTGACGATGTTCACAGTGGTGGACTGAACCACTGTAGGCTGTCCTGGATATCCAGGCTGTCCTGGATATCCAGGCTGTCCTGGATATCCCTGCAGTGGAACACCTTCAGGATTCATCTCAGTCGTCTTATCTGTAGGTTTGGAGTGCAGGCTGCAGGAGGGTGTACACACACTATGATCGTGTCGCTGTGAGTGTTGGTGTGCTCCTTTGAGGGTAAGCACAGCACAGGCTGCTTTTCTACCTGATACCAGCCAATGAGGTAAAACCAACCTGACCACAATGTAACCTACTGATACAACGGGTGTAAAAAAAAAAGACTATTATAGTCATCTACATTTTAAAATGTATTTTTTATGAACATTTTGACCCGTTAAAAAGTGTCCCAGTTTTTTGTGAACTCCGTCAGACTTTTACAAAAACACAAAATAATCAGGCATAAAAAGAGGTGAGCTATAACCAAAGGACCCCTGTCTTCATTCCTGAAGGGAAAAGGGGGGATGACATTTAAGTATCGTTAAGCTTTCTATTTTTTTTGAAATTCATTAAATGATGCTATCAGGTGTCTCAACCATAACACGTCAACTCCGTAATCCCTTAAATATCAGAACTAAATAAGGTCTTATGGTTTATTAATCTGTGTTTTGGTTGGCATTGAGAGAACTCTAAGCAACTTTAAAAACTGAAATGGCAACTTACTATAGATGAGCTAGATGAGATAACTGGCATTTTAGTTTCCTCTTCTCATACAGCGTTGAAGAAAACAAAGATGTCTGAACGAGAGGCACTAAATACAAATCTGATTTTAAACATTCATATAAAATATATTTTTTACACTTTGAAGAGTTAGCAAACACACAACAGGTCATACAGTGTATATTACACAGTGACACAATAAACTGTGCATTTAGTCGAGGGTCTTTTTCTCTGCATAGAATGGACAAACATGAAAGCCCTAAACTACATTTCTAGTCAGTCTGAAAGAAAACCAGAATAGGAGGGAATTAGTGGTTGTGTTTTTTGATTCGGATGAGGATGTAGTCTCTGTTTTTTTAATGCTACTTAGCCACACTAACCCTACGTTAACTGATAGACCACGATATAAATCAACAAAGTTTCTCTTTTCCACTAAAGAGAAGTTAATCAATGATTTTTGAGTTTCAGGTTAATTTATTTATATTTGTATTTAGTACAAAAAGGCACTATTGACTTTTTGATGAAGTGAAAGTAATTGTGTCCTTTTTGTAAACTGCATTACTGACATGCACGCGCCCACAAACACCTCCAGATCAAACTGAAAAATCATTTCAGTTTGAAAGTTCTTCTCATGAAGAATGCAATGATTTTTGAGGTTCAGTCAATCGTGAGGAAAACAAGCCAACGCTTATGATTGCCTGCAGTGAAAAACAAAAATACTGCGTCTTGCAAAGAAGTAGTGCCAACACTACATAAAAAAATCAATGTATTTTACAACCTGATCGGAGATTAATGCTGAATATGTCACACATTGAATCACATGTGAATGTTAAAAGAAGACTAACAGAATAGCTGATTTGGATTTATTTTTGGAGAGAGATGAATCAATCCAACATACAAACATAACCTAAGAAATAATCACTCATCCTGGTACATGGAAGAAGCTGAGGTTGAACTTGAAACTCCAATCACACCTATATTTAAAAACAAACAAACAAACATTAGCATTGAGGCCATATTTGATCAAAGGCAAGCCCTCCATTTCGTCATGCTGTACTCGATCTAGTTAACATTAGTTACCATAGTGGTCTTTGTTTCAGTCTGTAAAGAAAATAACAACTAAACAACTTCATCTGTTTTTTAAATTAGTGTTCAATCAAGACAAATGACAGAGATAAAGAATCTGCTGAATATTGAAAGCTTTGAGGATTTTGAGGAAAATCAACTGTTTGGATGGACTGAATGAAAAAAAAACGAAAAAACACAACCCTCACATTACAAGTCGGTGTTTCAGTCTCGTCATTATACTAATTGTTTAGTCCAATCTCGTTACTCTTAGTAGCAGTTGTTAATCAAGAAGTGCATTTGCTCTGCGATACATGAGGGTGCTGCCCCTTCTGGAAATTTAAGGCATCACATCTTGGAGGATGCGGCGACAGCCGAGACTCCTGGACGGCTGTAGACATGCACGGGTGTGTTCTAAGAGAGTGGAAGTGAAAGAGAGCAAGAGAGAGAGTTGGTACAACTGTATACCAGATGCACATCTTAGAAAACGTTACCTGCAGACAACTGTTTACGACAACATTAATAAATCTGCATTACGAAATGTTGCCACCAGACACACAAAAAAATATATACAGTATATCCAAATGTTCCGACAATTAATGTGCCCAATGTCTGTCATGGAATAACTTTCATTTCTGTTTAACATCCTTGTCCTCGTGAGCAGGCTGAATGTTATCCTTGATCTATAAACATCTGTATCCAATATGAGCTCAAATACTGAAGACTGAAAATGGTAAATTCACTTGTATAGCGCTTTTTTCTAGTCTTCTGACTACACAAAGTGCTTTTACACTGCATGTCACACCCACACATTCACACACTGATGTCAGAGGCTGCTATGTCAAGTGACCATCAGAAGTACCTAATCCCATTCACACACATTCATACGCTGCACACGAAGCAGCAGGAGCAATTCAGGGTTAAGTGTCCTGCCCAAGGACACATCAGAGATGTTGCTGCAGGAGCTGGGGATCGAACCCTCAACCTTCCAGTTGAGAGACGGCCGACTCTACATCTGAGCCACAGCCGCCCCATGTCAGTCCTTGTCAGAGGTTGGCAGTCAGTGACAGTAAGGCCTTCTCTGCTGGCCTTAACACTGAATCAGAATCACAAACTTATATATGTATTTTTTTATTTCATTTATTTATCGTGATTATGATTTTTGCCATAATCAAGCAGCCCTACGATAGTTGCCTTGATATTTTAAGCTAGGGTAGATCATTCATGTCAGAAACTTTTTTTTTTCTATGAAATTTTTTTTTTGTATGCAGACAGTAAATAATTCATCAACTGCTCTGAGAAAATGAAGTAAAAAAAATCCATTCATATGCAAACATTTGCTCCCCACAGAACAGCTGTTGAGGAAAACCATGAAATTTAAATGTGGACCTGCTGGAATAGCTGAAAACAATAGTCAGGACACTTCCAAAAGTTTTAGTCTTCCTCTGGGAAGTCCAAAATGTCAAAGTCATGATGACACTTAAGAAACAGCGCCCAGGGAATCCCCTCAGTCATTCAGATTCCTGCCTGAATGTTTGCTTCAAGTTTTATAAACATATCAAAACTACTCGCCAAGAATCAATCAGACAGTTACTATTTACCTGCTGGGCCTCATTATTGAAATTGTTGAGAAGATTCTGAACCCGGTTTCCATAGTCTGGATGGACAGCCTTCAAGTTCTCAACCTGCAGGAGAAAACAGATAATATGATATTAAGGCCCTGAAAAAGATGTTCTTTATACTTCTAACAATCAGAGTCTGATCAAATGTCTTTTGTCAAACGGTCCAGATATGATGATTCTTTTGGAAGATAGAATACCTTATTGTGATTTGACTTACTCAATTATTTATTTATGTTTATTAAAAAACACTGAGAGGAAGATGGCAAGTGCAGTGATCAGTTTTGGTTTCTCAAAGTTTTAGAGTTGCAATCTTGCTTGGAAACATGAACCAGACCTGACCACAGTAAAACAGAGAGCGTGTTCTTCTCTGTGAAAGATTTCCACAGTATGACCAGAAGCCACAGTGTTGTGGTCACCTGTTGACAGTTGAGGGTGGGTGACGCATGACGGAAATGAAACCAGGTCAATTGCGAGATCAAAATGAACGCTTATATTGGTTTAATAGCATTAATTTGTTTGCAGTTTTATGTCCCTTTCAGCGTACCATAGATAAGTCACTACAGTTAACGATTCACATTTAATGTCCACTGTGTCACATCAAACACTTCCTTTTGTTACGGTTTTCTTCTAAAATAAAAGCAGGATTTCTCTTTCAAATAGGAAGTACCAGCACAAGAGCTTAAACAGAACAACATAAAAGTATATTTATAAAAATGAAAGTATGACGAATACGGTTTTGAAATGCTCAATAAAGACATTTCAAACATAAAAATGTGATTCAAGTTGATTAGCTATTGAATTTAGCCATTTCAAAGTGTCTATAACCTGATGCAACTTCCTCCAACGCCTTCAAACTCCTTTTTCAAAGGTCTGAAGGAACAAGGTCCCCCACATCCAAATCCTCCTGTAGCAGATTCTAAGGGCGCACTCACACTAGGCAATCTGTGCCGTGCCCAAGCACGCTTCACCGCTAAAGTTCCCCGATGTATGGACGCAGAATCGACCATGTGTCTTTATTTATTTCCTCGAGTAAGCCTGTCTTGTAAACTGAGCACGCTTCATTATTAAGTAAAGCCATGCATTTGTTGTATTACGACCTTATGTGCAAGAGGTAGCCATGCTCGGGCCCGGTTAGTCCTGGAGCAGTGTGAGAGCAGGCCAGCGGGGTAATGGGGAGGGGGGGCAACCGTGCTTAAGCACAGTACGGGACAACTTTGCTAGTGTGAGTGCGCCCTAAGCCAAATAGGGCAGCCTACCTATAACTCCTGTATTCTCATGTAAAGAGGCACTTTGGAGACAGATATGAAAAACAGGGTGAGGAGTGTAGCTTCCAGCATTATTCAAATGAACAAAATGACATACATAAGAAGGAAGAAAGTTAAGAAATAGCTCATAAACCAGGAAATGCCAGTGATTTAGTCAACATGACAATGCAGGGAAGCTGACACAAGCATATAGTGCCAGGTGCAGTGATGAGCAAGGGCCTTCAGATTCTTAATGAACCTGAATAATCCATGGTATCTGACATCACTGAGAAATTGTATGCACAAAAAAGATGACTTAAAAGTCTTTATGTAAAAGTTAGCAAATCAACCATTAAGAAGCCCTGGAATTTATAAGTGAAAACAGACTCATTCATATCATTCTGCAATCATAGTAGAAGTCAGGATCAGTACAAATCACTGTTCCCTGACAACTTGTTAAAAAAACAAGTCAGTGCATTCACCAGTTTAATAACCATGACGACCTATGTCGTCCAAGGTAATAGGAAAACAACTAAAGTTACCATTATAAACTCGTCCAAATCTTACGCCTTTTTTTAAACAATAAATGCTTAATCCCAAAATAAACTACTAACCGGACCTCTTAAGTCTTCTTTAGTAACTGTTCCCTTTGAGCAAGATTTAAGTAACATTTCTGTTCTGTTTCATTTCACACTGTATACATGATCACATTTTCTTTGATTGTTTGAAGAACACTTTAGAACTGCCTGGTGCATGAATTGGGAGATTTCAATTTAATTGCCTCTGCCTAAACCCACATACAGACACCAAGCTTCATGAGCACAGTGTTTGGTTTCCAGAGAGCCACATCCTGTGGTTTTAGCACGCTCGTTCATAAAGCCATCAGTATTTTATTTTTTAAATGTTTCCTGCTACGGGGCAATAAACATGTTAAAGAACATGTCATTTGATTTAAACAGTGGAAGTATTATGTTTGGACAACTCTTAGTAGAAGCATGACAGCATCAAGCATGTCCAGGTGACAGAGACTGTGTGGATAATAATGCAGTGAGGACTCACCATGCGCTTTTGGATGAAGAGCTGGGCTCCTTTCAGGGCACCAGCCATGTTACTGCAAAGCCTCTCCCGCTCCTCCTCATTCAACACCTCGGTGTAGAAGGTCCGAACCTGCAATTCAAATTTGAAAACACACATTAAATACCTGGTAAGAGTAGATTGAATCAAAATGATATCCATTTCAGTCCACTTCATACAGACAGGATAGCTTCAAAATAAAGCCAATCATCTCTAGCCTTGTCACGATCCTGGTTACCTTAGAGTAGTAACACACATACAGTTCATGTGTAGATTAGTTCACTTGTTTTGCTCTACAATGATTCATTATTATTGATTTTCATTTCAGTCTTTATTTGAAAACCCTGTTGACTTATGTCCATGGTGACTTGTGGAAGAGGAGGAACCTGTTAGACATAACACTGACTTATTATGTTGGGCTCTGAAGCTGTTAGCTGTGTCTGTTTGGTACAGGGCAGGAAGCGCACAGGAAATTAGGAGAGAAGAAGAACCATCCTGGTGGTGAAATCGGTTTGTGTAAACCGACTGGTGCTTGTAATATCGGGATGTTTTCTTCACCTGCGACATTGTCCTCATCTCTACTGTTGTAACGGCTCACATCTGGAGACACCTTGAACTTGGACTCCACAAACTGAGGCTGGATGTCAGGAGCACTGAAGCTGTTGGGATAGTAGTTTGGGGCTCCACCCAGAAGCCGGACAGAACAAACTGCTATGTTAAAATCTGAACAGAATAAAGAACTTTATTGACTGTGTGCATGGATGACTGTGGTTAGTTTTAAACTCAGTTTGAATTAGATGAGCAACTTACAGTTCTTCTTAAACACCCTCCTATTAGTATGAGTCCTATTGCATTTCATACAGTCTCAATGGCGACATCTGTTGGGCAACTCTTGGTCTTGCCCTGTTGTATTTTACCAAGTCTTTTCAGAAAACTAAATATTTGTATGACTGGATGTGAGTGGGAGATCAAATGTATTAAACTGATGTGTTTTATAGACTGAATTAACTCTAACTTCATCACTCAGGTTTGATGTATTTTTCGTGGTGTGCTTTGTCTCAGACAAGGTGGCTCATCTTTCCTGGACACACTGTGAGTAACCCAATCGCTGCAAATACTACAATGCTCCTTTGATATATACAGACTAAAAGATAGATTAGGTAGATTATACAAGATTTATTTTTTTCGCTACATACAAAGCTTCAACGGTAAAGCCTTTGAGTCTGTCTCTGTTATTGCGTCACACACAGGTTGGACTATGACTCACCTTGGTTGTCAAACATGCACATCGGACCATCGCGCTGGTAGTTGGTCACACGGCTCCTGAATGGACAGTTGACAGGGAGCTGCAGGTAGTTAGCTCCCAGCCGGTGTCGATGCGTGTCTGGGTAGGAGAAGAGACGGCCCTAGACAAAGATAAAGGAGATGAACATCAACAGGGCATCGCTTAACTGAAGGGTCTGTCTTTAAAAAAACAAAACAAGATTTCTCGTTGGTCATTTATTCAAAAGATTAGGGTCCAGACTAAGACCTGCTGGGAGACAATAAAGTCTTGGGGGTCACCAAAAACCCTCATTAAGATGCCTGAACATGCACTTAAACAGGGCACCATAGAGACAGTTATTATTTGAAGTTACAGGAACAGTTTAGCTGAAATAACTTTTTTTAGATTCAGTATTACTGGAAAATGGGTCAAGAATAACAAATGAAAAGAAAGAAAGTTGTGTTTACCTGCAGCATCTTGTCTGGGCTGGCCTCGATGCCTGGTGGCATGTTGCTGGGATCGAAGGCGAGTTGCTCCACCTCAGCAAAGTAGTTCATTGGGTTCCTATTGAGCACCAGTTTGCCCACAGGGATCAGAGGGTACTCTTTGTGAGACCAAACCTGAATGAGATACAGTAGCTCCATTAGAAGAAGAAAAGATGGTACCACTACCATCCGACTGTAGGATGGGTACAACACGCACAGAGAAGTTTTTGTATTCATAGACTTTACTATTGATGAGCACTTCAGCTCAAATTCATGTAAACATTTAAAACTAGACATAGGATACAGAGCCACTGTTACTTTGACACAAACACTGATTTCAGTTATCAGATGTTTAAAATGCTAACAAAAAGGGAGGCAGAAACACTAAGACATATTGCTCATGGACATCTTGATGTCTGAACAGTGTGTGCCTTGAACTTTTTGTAATTGCTGACATCTTTAGCAGGAATATGCAACAGAGGAATAGAAACTTTTCTAAAGTGTGTCCTTCATTTGTGGAGCTTCTCTTTCATTTTAGACTTAATCAGGTAAAAGTGTTTTTATCAACATTACATTTTTTATTGATTAGTTATTTGTCTCCTCCTGAGGGGATAACTGTATTAACTTAGAGCAGTAAGCAGATTAATAATTTCATAACCCTTAAAATCATTATTCCTCTTAGTCATACTATGTTTAATAACGAACAATGCTATCCACAAACAGACACTTGAAGTCTCCTACAACAGCTTAGGTTGTGAGTGCATTTTAGCCTTTTGGTACAACTGCTGTAGAAAGATTAAGATTAACTTCATTGTCCCAGTGGGAAATTTGTCTTGGACTTCACAGAGCTCTGATGCAGTAGCAAAAAATAACAAAATACATTCATTCGTCGGTAAAACATGTCAGTTAAATAATCATAAAATGCCATACGAGTGAATTACTAAAACCATAAATATGTAATAGTTATGAAAAGTGATAACAGTGCAGGTGCATCTACACATCTTCACCACCTCATACATGCACACGTATACACACACATTACAGCTTAGGTACTGTTGAGGGCTTTGATGGACAAGGGAACAAAGGTATTTCTGAAATGGTTGTTCCTCCCTCGGGGTACTCTGTATCGTCGGCCTGAGGGGAGGAGCTGGTACTCAGGGTGAAGAACATGAGATGGGTCTGAGATTATTTTTTGTGCCTGTCTGATTATGGTTTGTTGAAAGATGTCTTGGAGGCTGGGGTGCTGATGAACTCCCATGATTTTCATGGCTGTCTTTGTGAGTCTGTTGATTTGGGCCTTTGACTGAACGATCAAATTTCCAAACCATGCAGAGATACCATATTGTAGGAGGCTCTCTACTACTGCATGGTAGAAGAGAAGCTGCACTTCCCGGGACACACCAAAGGTCCTGAGTCTTCTCAGAAAGTGAAGCCTCTGCTGCACTCTGGAGCAGACAGCTTCCACCTGGGACTTCCACACTAGTTTATTGTCTATGTGGATGCCAAGATATTTGTAGGACTCTACTTGTGTTATGGTGTGATCATGGATGACCACTGGTGAGTGGTCGCCAAGAGACCGAGGGTCGAACACCATCTCATTTGTTTTTTTTGTGTTGAGGAGGAGATGGTGTTCGTCACACCACTGCACAAAGTTGCTGGTTGTTGATGTATATGTGTGAATGTCCGAGTCTGTTTGCAGAAGGCCCAGGATGGCCGTGTCATCGGAAAATTTAACAACATGTACGTTTCCACTGTTGCTGGTACACTGATTTGTGTAGAGAGTGAACAGCACTGGTGAGCTAACACACCCCTGGGGCGCTCCGGTGCTGATGGTTGTGAGCTCTGACACAGTTCTGCTCACTCTGACTTGCTGGGTGCGGTTAGTGAGAAATGAATGATACCATTTAATGATGAATGGATTGACCCTAAGCTGATTTAGTGTGTTAAGTAGAATGTGAGGCTGCAAGGTGTTAAACGCTGAACTAAAATCAACAAACAGTAATCTAGCATAGGCCTTGGGATTCTCCAGATGTTTAGTGACCATGTGCACTAAGCTATTGATAGCGTCATCAGTACCTCTATGCTGTCTGTATGCAAATTGGTATGGGTCTAGCTGTGGGCCTACCTCCGACTTCAGTCTGCTCACCATAAGTTTTTCCATACATTTCATTACAACAGGAGTTAAAGCCACTGGTCTAAAATCATTACAGTCTTAAGGACATGGAATTTTTGGGATAGGTGTGATGACCTATGCTTTGCTTCACAGGCAAAGGAACACCCAATTGTTTGGCAGCAGGTGGATGTCCAAAAAAAACTGGGAGAGGAGTTGTTGCCACATGCCTCCCAAGCAGCCAGGGACGGACTGGGACTACAAAACAGCCCTGGACTTTTACTCGGCCGGCCCACAACAATCGATGCGCGGAAAGTCATCAACGCCTGGCACAGGTGTCACAATACTTGAATCATGACTCATTACACTATACCATCCAAATTACAGCAATAGCACTGATGTTGATTATAACATCATCTATTCCACGCAATCTTATGATTACTTTATTACTCAATAATCTTAATTAAATTATGCAGTAATTAACTTACTGCACAAATAATAATGAAAATACATCACTACAAATGTAACTTCTGTATTCAAAGTCTTCAAAGTTTGTAAGTATTATCAGAAAACTGTAACGTTACCAAAACTTTAAAAAGTAAAAGCACAAGTTTTTTTTATATATACAGTATGTAGCCTATTTCTTAATATTACTGCATGGGGCATTTTACACCTAAAATGTTTAAAGTGGAGCTGTTTTAACTACTATAATCATTATTTCACTTTATTTTATTTCATTTAATTTTTTGCATTGTACTGAGCAACACAAACTGGGTATAGATAAAAATGTAGCAACACCTGAATAACATTTGCTAACATCAACCAGCAAGTAACTCTCTTTCTCCCTCTCTCATGTCAAGTTCCAGCCCTGAACTTCCACCAGCTCATCTCTCTGTCCCTCATCATCACATGTGACCCTACCATGCTGAGGCTGCACAACTGTCCGGCTCGCCTCAACTCTCTCTTCTTCACTCATGCTGCTAACTTCTTGGATGCTGCTGCTAACGTCAACTTGTGCCTCAGTGCTGCTGCCGGCTGTGCTGCTGAACATTTCAGTGAGCTTGCGACATTTAGCGGCTTCACTTTCTAAATGTCGCATTTTTTTCCCTCGCCTTCTCAGCCCCACCCTTTTTCTTTGTGCACCCAGAGGTGAACGTGTTGTGTTGATCACCTAAAAGTTTCAGTGCGAAATCACTTCTAAATGCAGTAGCCTGCTGTTGCGCCTTTATCACCAGCTTTCATCAGACCGTAAATATGTAACTATTACTGAACATTTCATTCTTATACAAAGACGATATCACGCACAGGCTGCCCGATCATACAGAGGTCCGCTGGTTTAACCATGGAGCAGCGCTAAAATTCTTCCTTGAATTGCGCACGGAGATGGCAGAGATTCATGGAGCATAAAAAGTCAGTGACAGAGTTAGATCACGATATTGCGGACACGTAGAAGAACGGACCGCCAGACTCATATGAAAAGTCGTTTAACTGAGTCTACTTAGTTGAAGAACGTGCACTCCACACGGAGCTGATCAGACTGCAGTGCGCAAAGCTGAAGGATCAATTCAAGTCAGTTCGTTTGGAAACATGTTATCATTTTATAATGCCTCATACTTAAAGACCCGAAGATGCATCAAAGACACTCTGTTTGTTTGTGACAACTTATTCACGTGAGCAGGTTTTATCTGTAATGAACCTTAACGAGTGCAAACTGTGCTGTGGCCTGACACACACTGATCTAAAGTCTCTGTCTCTCTCTCTCTCTCTCGCTCTCTCTCTCTCTCTCTCTCTCTCTCTCTCTCTCTCACTCTCTCTCTCTAATGCACTGAGCCCAGGGCAGGTAGAATAAGGTGTCAAAGTGTCTATAACCTTGAATAGCAATATTTAAACATAATATAATAATCTCAATCAAAACATAATTATTGATGTTTTCTTCTGTAATGTGGTACATTTAAATATTTCCATGTGCCAACATGCAGTTTGCAATGACAGAGTTAACCCCTCTGCTTAATGTTAATGTTAAAGTTTTCTATACAATCATACATTAGCCTATATATCCATGTGTTGAGTTATAGTGATGTCGGCAAAATGAGTCCGGCCCACTTGAGGTCTCATTTGGACAAATCCGGCCCCCGACCCAATAGGACTTTGACTTTGACATATCCTTTAGAGTCTAAAGAATATAATATATCTTAAAAAAAAATATGGAAAACCGTTTTAACTTCTGCATGAACATGCTCATCCAGACACGCCTGAGACAAAACATAAACGGCATATCAGTCAGTATGCTCGTGTCAAACACAAAGACAAAGGACACTTTGTCTATAATGTAATTTTTATTTAGTTTTGTAAACACACGATACAGATTCAGGTAATAATAATAATAACACTTTATTTGTATAGCACTTTTCTATACAAGTAGCAAAGTGCTTTGCAACAGAAAATAAAAGCAGAGAGAATTAAAGCAACAGGCAGAGCGTAAACAAGCAGACAACAAAATCAGACTAATAAAATGAAAAATAAAAACAATTAACGATATCACAGAGTAAAAGCATTTTTATAAAAGAATGTCTTGAGTAGAGATGTAAAACAAGGGACTGACTCTGCAAGTCTGATCTCCTCTGGCAGGCTGTTCCAAAGTCTGGGGGCTCTGACAGCAAAGGCCCTGTCCCCTTTAGTTTTTAGCCTGGAACAGCCGGTAGGGCTCTGCCAGAGGATCGCAGACTGCGTATTGGTTCATAAGTGGTTAAAAGGTAGGCAAGTTATAGTTTTTATTTTGCAAAGCCTTGTTTTTATTTTAGTTTCAGTAAACCAAAATGATTTTACAGTTCATTTTCTATCAGTTTCTATAATAACCATAACCATAACGATCATATGAATATTTCTGAATTCTCACCATGGTCACAATGAACATAATAATGAAGATTAGGACCCCTATGCCAAACAAAGCAGATGATATAATGTTGAAGGTGCGGGCGGTTCCTCCATAATGTCGAGCCCCCTCCAGATCACCAACCATCTTCCGATCTCTGGACTGAAATGACAGAAGCACCTCTCATTATGTTCAGTAAATTGTTTATCTTCAAGAAAAAAACAAAGTTGAACACGTTTATTTTTTACATCTTTGTCAAGATAATGTAAATATTTACACATGATTGAATGATTGTATAATGAAGCGAAAATGGTCTTCATCTCAAACCTGTCATTCTTTCAATGATGAGTCTTTTTTTTCTTACTCACTGATAGTTTGGAATTTCAAATTGAAAAAATCTCCAAAAAGACCCTTCAAATAAAGCGAAGC